GGAGTACTTCCACGCTACTAGATCCAGGCTAGACAAACCTTCCACGCGTTCCGTTCTAGGATCGTGGAGAGACGTAGGATTACTACCGCAACCTACTCTATCACACTTTATAGTCTCCCGCGGGAAGCCAGATCTACGATCCCTTGATGATGATCTCTCTCGTTGATTAGTTTTCATAGCTTTCTAATCTCTCTCATAACTTTCATTCTCTCAAACTCAAAACACTCGAAAGATCTTTACACTAGCTTTTAGCGTAGTGCAGGTGATTTTGCCACTTTGGACCAGTCAACTTGGGGCCAATGAATCTCCCCACAAAAGCTTCAAAAATCCAAGGTGAGATACCCACAGACCAATTGAAGGATGGCGGTTCCAGTGGTGCTATCTTTACTCTCTCGAAACGGTGTATTGGTGGCCTCGAGCCGCTTCGAGTTGCTCAATTCGGTGGTTCCGTGCAGAAGATCGCGATCTCGAGCTCGTCGTGCACGATTTTCAATGACTCGACCACGCAAAACCTTTAAATTGTGAGCGCAAACAGGTTACCGAAGATGAGCCTGCTTTCAGTACGGAGAACTTTGTCATATAAGTACGAAATCGGTAGGGGAAGCTTGTTGTATAAGTCTTCACGAATCCAGGATCGCAAAAGAACGCAAGATCGTTCCGTGTGACGTTTAGTACTGACTCAGTGCAGGTCCGATAAGTACCAAAAAATTCACGTGACACTCGAATCCTGCACGGGCGATCTGGTTGGGTGAGCGGCTTTCGTGACAAGCGTTCTCGGAGCTTCCGTGCTCGGAATGAGAATCCTCGAAACTGCACAGGCGATATGATTGGCTGTTGCACGTTCCATGTAAATCGCTCAATACTGCACGGCGTTGCTGAAGAGATAAGCCTCGTAGATGCCGAATAAATCCCAACCTGCTCCGTGACTCGCTGCAAGACTCTGAAAGTGATAAGCCCGTACAAAAAGAGATATCGTGCTGTTGGGCTTGATAAACAGACAAATTCCTCGGGACGTAAAAGACTTGATCTCAGTTGCCAAAGTGGTGCGAACCACTAAGTCTCCCATTCTCTCTGGCGAGTCTCCACAGGGGTACGCTGCCGGTTGCTTCTTCTTTCGAGTCGAGTGAATTGGCTTCTTGGCTCCGTGGCTAGCTGAATGTTGGCAATGAGGTTGTCGTCGAGATGATACTAGTAGCTTTTGCAGGTCCTTTTGATGCCAATGGGCTTTGTGTTGGCCTTGTAGGATTGGTAGATGGCCAACTGAAAGGTGCCTGTCACTGTAGTGAAGGCTGGAGCTATCAAAATCGATCAAAAGTTTGTTGACTTGGGACTTCAAAAGTAGGCTTGAGATCCACTCAAAATTGCCAATGAAAGTCAACTGTTGACCGGTATATTGTAGTGCCAATAGATGTAGTCGGAGAGCTCCTTGTCGGCTTGAAGACTCTGCTTTCCTTAAAACTGCCTGCAAATCTATGCGTTCTGTTAATCCAATAGATTCTCGTTCCAGTAGTGGAATGGGCCTCGCTAGAGCCCTTCCTCAGGAACAGTGGTAGTCAAGCAGTAGGAAGCCTCGGAGTGCCTCAGGAGTGTTCAACACCTCCAGTAGGCACCAAACCAAGGACTTGGCCCTGTCAGTTAGACAGGGGGCCAGCAGAGCTCTCTGCTGGGCCCTTTGAGCCAGCTCACCTCAGGAGCTGGAGCCTTCGCTATTCAATCAGTTTGGGGCAGTCTGGAGAACAATATCTATCTGTTCACCCTCCACTGCTTCTGCTCGGCCTACACAGGATGGGAATCTGACTGTGGAGGGATATAAGTTGAGCAACAAGCCTAGGAATGGATTACGTTTTCAATACGGTTTCACTTCATTAGCTATTTTCTAGACTATGATGGAAAGGACGATCCTTTCTTGCTGCTTTGGCTGGAGATAAGCCAGCTGTGTGTGCTGGAGCCGTAGGCTAGCATAGCTGTTGGAGCTATCTCTGACGGGATCCAGAGCTCTCGCTCCTAGACTTTATCGCCATGGGCAATTCTGAGGGTAGCTTTCTGTTGAAGGAGGGCGAGAAGCTTGGACAGTAGGAGGCAAATGCAGAAGACAGAGGCAGCAGGCAAATGCAGAAGATAGAGGCAGTAGCAGCCAGGGGGCAGCCTTGGGCGTGACGTTCCTTCTGGATGAGGTAGCAGAGTTTTCCAGTGTCAGCATTGTGGTAGCATCGATTGGGGTTTTCATAGCACAGGTCATAGAAGGGTACAGGGCAGGAGAAGTCATCAGATTTAAACAGGAAGTCCCACACAGCAGCCCGGGAGCATTCATTGAACATGTTGCGGATATCTAGGAGGAGTAGGACTCTGGAGGCCTGCAGGGGGTTGGGGGAAGAGGCAACATAGTGATGAAGTTGGGCTTTGGCACTATCCACCATGAATTGGAGGCTACCTTTGACAGAGATGGCAAACTGGCCATAGGGAAGAAAGAAGGAGGAAAGTTGAGTCTGGAGGATTTGCATTGCATATTTACCGCTAACTCGCCGGAGGGCACTTCCCATCCCGATGGGTCGAAGCTTGATGGGATCATCTGGGTCTTTGTGAAGCGCCATGAAGTAGTTGGCGGAGAAGCACACAGCAAGCTTTGGAGGCATTTTGTTGTCGAGGATGAGTTGGAGGACTTTGCTGAGGGCATGGAGGTACGGTTGATGGAATGATCCTTTGGGTTGATTGAGTCCGAAGCCTTTGACGGTTTCTGGGAGGTCGGCAAAGGGACCAGCGGCTGTGCCTCGCTTGAGGTGCCGAAGGGAGGAAGTGAGGGTGGGGAGGTTCATTGGGATTTGGGTTGGGCGGCCAGACTGTCGGGTGGACTTGGGGTGTTTGGCAACATAGGAGGTGGGTTCTGGGTAGATTTTCTCGCAGAGCAGTCGGACTTCCGGGGTGATGGAGGCAACTGGGAGGGCAGACACCACACGAGCATAGGCCGTGTGGTAATTGTCCTCGTCAGCAGCAAGTTGGGCAGCTGCAGAGTTGGAGGAAGGGGTCAATGCTGGGCGAGGGGCGGCATGGGCCTGTTCATACAGGGATTGTGCATGACCATGCTTGAAGTGTCGGAGGTGTTGTTTCACTAGGTCGTTGACAGAGATGTGGCAGCCGAGGGGCTTGGGGAAAAGGATGAGCATGTCGAAGATGAGGAGTAGTATCTAGAAAGGGAGGGAAGTGGACTGACGGGATGGTTGAGAGGCCTGTCGAGGGAGTGGAGTGGTAGATAGCTGGATCCATTGGTAGATGTGGTGGAGAGAGGCGTAGTAATAGGACTTGGTCTCTTGTGACAGGCGCCGCCAGAGGTTGGTTCGGTAAGAGGGAGGGAGGGGGGTCCAGCTGGGTGAACCAGAGGAGGGTGGGTTCCCATTCAGCATGGGTGGAGTGGCGAAGTGTTTGTTGGATGAGAGTGATGATTGCAGAGAGATCAACGGCCGTGTAGATTAGCCGTACAGGCTGAATCTAAACTATCGAGACAAACGCAAGCCCGCTCCCGGTAAGACACTCGAATGCGAACCGGAACGTGTTGAAACGTTCCTCGAAAAGACTTAGAGGACTCCATCTAGCCTTAACCTTAATCTCATCTGACATCACTCATCAGATCGTTCGATCGATCCAAGCCACTTGTATGTTCATTATTTTGATACCTCTATCTTTACTCTATCAAGATGATGCTTCCTCCTCTTTACAGCGGCTACTCCTCTTAACAAAGGCTACTACTCACCACCATGACAGGCTCCTCTTGCTTGGTTAGTGGCAGTAGCGGCAGCAGTCGATCGATCGATCGATCGATCGGCCGACTGATGACTTCTTTCTTCTTCCACGGAGCGAGCATGACGCCTCTTTGCTTCACGGTGCGACCATGACGCCTCTTCTTCCGCGGAACGACGACGCTTCTACCGCTAAAGCAACAGCAAAGTGACTACTATCACTAGAACGACAAGCGACGCCTCGTCAATGGCACTGGTTTCTTCGGTTCGGCGGATTGATTTTGGTCTGCTTCCTGCTTTCGCGGAGCAACCATGAGGATTGCTTCCTCTTCCACGGGGTGGCCGTGAGCCTACGACAGTGCTACTACAAAAGGAACATGCTTCAGCTTCTCTACTACTGTTTTGAGTGGTCGACTGACTACAAACATGAAATCTGCTCAATTTTGTGGCCATCAAGTCAACAACTTTGAATTGGGGGCTCCAGTCTTCATGCAGAGCCACCCACTCCTCTGCCAGACTCTACAGTGCAGATTGAGTGCTGAGAGTGAGGACTGGAGTACCTTTCCCATGGAGAAATGCATGGCAGAATGACAACAAAATGGAATCCAAGCAAGATTTTTCATAGATGCTTCATAGGAGACCTTGGAGATAGCTGAGTCCCTTCAAGGAGGGGTGGCTCTGTGAGTGTGTTGGGGAGCTAGTCCTCTGACAGACTCAGCTAGAACAATGTAATGGTAGAGCTAGAGACCATTTGGCCAACACTGTTGCCATGGTGGTAAAATTGATCTTTTCTTTGTTCTTTGTTATTCTTTTCTATTCTGCTGTTGTTGGCGCAAATCAGACAGGATTCGCGAAATGACCACTTCCGGGTTTCCATTTCCGAAAACCGAAAAATAACCGTAAAAAACGCTCACATTTTACACCTGTCAGCGGTAAATAAAGTCATCTTGTAGATTACAGTAGCTACTATGTACCCCACCACTGGACTGGTTCACTTTCGAAATCTGCAGAGCTGTCACTAGGTGAAATGGGGTGCGAAACTGACTTCACAGCACAACCACAAGCTGTGGATGTGGAAAGGACTACTGGAAGACTACAGGATGAACTCAACCAATGTAGCACCTACAAAACTAAGCTAACTACATATAGTTGTCTACATTCTTTGCTTGTCGCAGCCATGTGCTGGTTGTAGTGTTTGCAGCAATGTAGCAGGCATTATCTTTTAAGTCAAACTAGATGCTTCATTTTTCATGGGGGAAAATGGTAAGGAATGGCAGCCCTACTTTGCCTGCCATTCGTTGCTCCCATAGCCACCAAATGAACAAGCCACTACCACCACTGCGACCGGCACGTCCAAATTATGTATTCCATATCTCAAAGTGTTGCTAGGGTGTCTCTATTAGTAGATGTGCTGGGGATATCTGTCAGCATGAGAGGTGATGTCCAACATCAAAATGTGAAGCGAATCATGCCATGACTGACATAATCCAGTGGCGGGGAAAAAGGTGTACCTAAAGGCTTAAAAGTAGATGGAGATGACGACGATGAAGAATACAAGCCGAACAAGCGGAGAACGAAGCGCGCACCGTCTCACGTAGGATTCCGCTACTCACAAATGTTTTTGATGCACCTTGCAACTTGCAGAACTGGCAGCGATCCTTCTTACTCTTCGGACCACACTGCTTCCCAGCGAAACATGATACCCTGGAGTATATCACTTGGTGTACGCCCCAGAACGCCAGCTGTGAAGGCGCTTCCGGTTTCACACCCAAAAAACAAGCCGTTGGCCAATTCGAGATTCATAGTTTATGAGATAAGACCTGCTCCCGGGATGTTGGACATGCAAGGATGTAGCTGCACAACAACTCAAATACGCTATTCACACTCACTGAACGCACTCCAAGTCTTATTTTATTCCCTAATAATTGAGCAACCAAATAGATAGTGGACTTGTTCCTTTATCAGCCACTGTTACCATTATCATCATGACAGGGATCCTGAACTGTGTAGAACGTAATGGGGAGCTCGTCCTTCGAGGGGACCTTGGCGACTGCATGGATGCCCTCTGGGAACATCGAACGGCGACAACCATAGTAGTCGAGTTCTTTGAAAACATGTCGGAAACAGAGTGCCTCATGTTGTTTGCAATACTGGCAGGCTACTCTACCATGACCAGTCTACGAGTCTCAAGTCTCATGGACAAGAACAAATTGCCCATCAAGGCTCTCAAGGCTCTCCTTAGGAATCCCTCTGTTCGGTTGGATAGCTTGCATTTGGACACGATCAAGCTTACAGGAGACATCAAAGACTACTTGGTGTTCGTAGAATCACTTCGTCTCTGTTCGTTGCGGAGCGTCAGGTTGGAGGACTGCGAATTCGAAGATCCCACCATTGCGCTCGATCCATTGATTCGTGGTCTGGCGACTATCCCGACGCTCGAACATGTTTCGCTGGCAAGGACGAAGCTTGCCCCGGTGGGTATTGTATGGAACTGCCAGTGTCTTTTCCCATTGTTGCCTCAAGTGAGGTCTCTGACCTTGGAGGAAATGCCAGATTTCAAAACGAATACAATTTGCTTGTTGGCTTTGGCCATTGAAGACCCTTCATGTGCCTTGAAAGAACTCAAGATACTGAAACACAGGCTCACCAGAAAGAGCATCGCATACATTGGACGGATGTTATGCAAAACCCAGTCGCTGCAAGACTTCACACTTGAAGTCAAGAATTGCCGTCAAGTGATCCAACTTGCGAAAGACCTGACCAACAATATTCAATCCAGCAGCCTTCGGTGTCTCCATTTCCCGGGAGAATGGGGTGCAAGTAGGGAAAGCGATTACATCAGTGGTCTTCGACGTGCAATGATTGACATGCTCCAGATACAGGTTCAACTCAAGAAAATTACACTGGGAGATAGGAAGTGCGGCTTGAGCCGAGAATTGGCTCGATACGTCAAAATGAACCAGCAGAACGAGCAAGCTATTCGTGAGTTTGGAAGGAAAAGAGAAAGTCTCGTATGCAAGCAAAAGGTGCTTCGGCGATCGACGTCCACCAAGCAAGAAGGAACTGATCCCTACAGCTACTACTACGATTACAGCAAATCGCTGTTATCCGGCTTGTTTCATCCGCCGGAGAAAAGAGTCAGATTTCGAGTTGACTAGCTAGAAACCGGTGCTACCGATTGCAAGAAGATCTATCTACGGAAGGTATGACGGATACGCTACACAGCAATTCGATGCAAGCAGCTGGGCAGAAACAAAAGAGACGTAACCGCTACATCTTTTACACTTTTACATGATCAATCGACAAAGACGATAGACGAGAGAAAGACCGCTACTAGATAGCGATAACATCAAATAAAGCTCTCTCGTGAATAGAATGATTCGATCCAATCATAAAACCACAGAAACTGCTCTCTAGCTCGACGCGGCAAAGCATTCACTGTACTCGACCAATGCTGCTGCAAAGCATAACTTTCACTTTCTTCCTAAGGGTGCAATTAGCTCTAGACAAACGTTGTCATCGGATGAAGCTCATAGATTGTCATCGTCGCCTTTGCTTCAAGCTGCAGTGGACCTCGTCCCACCTACGAGAGCACCGAAAGCTTAGCTCCTTCTTGAATACCAACCCATGCATTACCGTATCTAGTAGTCTTGCAAGTTCTGGGTCTCCATAAGGTTGCTGATGCTCTCATTTTCTTGAAAGAGCTTCAACAAGGGACTGGCGACATTCTCGCGTGCTTCTTCCCTGTTTTCCGCTTCGATTTGCAGACTGATCAGGGGGTCGTGCAAACTCTTTCTCAACATGAAGAATCCGCCATTGCCAGTGCGAACTCTAATGCCTTCTAGATTGTCAGTGTCCAGAGTCCAAGACATGGACTCCGCTTGGCACGAGGTTTCAATGGATGTACGGGCCAACTCAAACACACCCGCCATGGTTTCCAAGGACCCATCGGACACATTCATTCGGATCTCGGCTTCTTCTGGCATCTCCTTCATTGCTGCAATCAAGCCCAATAGATCTGCGCCATTGTTGGTCATCTTCTCCCTAGCCAAAAGTCCAATCACCTTGACAGCTGTGTAGGTTCCATCATCTAAATACCCGTTTTCCTTCATGGCACAGTGTCCACTGGTTTCAATAGCCATTTCAGCATTGGCTTTTCCACTTTCCGTCAGCTCTTGTGCCTTTCCAATGACATTGGCATATCCCTTCAAGTACCTCACATGCTGCAAGCCAAGATCGTCCTCAAGGAATTGAGCCAACCCCTCGGAAGTCACAGAGTCTGTGACAACGGCACATCCTGGCGATGTGCGACTGAAAATGACAGACAAGAGGGCAATCAAACGATTGCGGTTGAGTGGCTCATAGGATGTCTTGTCGCCGTCACGAACAGGAACAATGAAGCCACTCCTATCAGCGTCAGTATCCAACAGTATTCCCAAGTCAGCCCCCACGTCTTCACAAATGGCCACAGTATCGGCAATCATTTCTTTCTTTTCTGGATTGGGAATCCCTGCGGGAAAGTCTCCATTAGGTTCCACGTGCATGGAAGCGGAAACATCGGCACCAAGTCCTGCCAATACCCTATTGAAAAATCCTCCTGATCCATTTCCCGAGTTGAGTACAATCTTCAGTCCCTCTAGTGGTTTGGTGCTTGTTGTTTGGACTTCCTTGCAAATGGCAGCTTGCAGAGAAGACGCATAAAGAGGCAAGAAATCTACCCATTCGTTGCAGAACACTCCCTCTCCTCCTGAAGTGGGTGGCAACATGCCTTGTACATCGTGCCACCGTTGAGCAAAGTCGGCTGCCAATTGATTCATTTGCTGGACATGATGTTTGGTGAATCCTCCTTGCGAGCGAGTAAAGAGCTTGAATCCATTTCGATCAATTGGCAAATGGGAGGCTGTTACCATTACAGCACCATCGCACAAGCCGGCTCTGAAGGGGTAGAGTAGTTGATGTAGATAAAACAAGGTAGAGAAACATTGTTGTGAGAGAATTGCAAAAGTCAAACATCCAGATGATTGATACCGTGCCTGCACGAAAGGTCAGTTTCTATAGCTGTAACAGGGGATGCTCTACTCACCGACAGAAGTGATACATGGAAGGAGTGGTGGCCACTCCCGTGTACACCACTCGAATTCTGTCGCCGTCGACGGATTGAATTCCACGCGCAAAGGCATCGCACAACATGCTTCCATGAGGACGAGGATCGCGTCCGACGGCAATGGTTGGATTGTCGCTATCGGTTTGTTGCAAGACCATTTGTCCAAAAGCATGTCCCAGACAAAATGCCGCAAATGGCGTCAATGCAGGAATTCCATCATTTAGTTGTTGCTCGTCAATGGCTTTGCTCACACGCGAGAGGCGTCCCACACGAGGATGATCCACTACACTGCCTCGAATGTCGGAGCCCTGATGGGTCAGTTGCCGAATGTTCTTGAGAATAGTCTTGAGAGACGGAGGACACAAGTTATCGTCAATATCCGTGGCAACATTGTTGAAATGGCGAAAAATGAAAGAATCACCACCTTCTTGTTTGCTGGTCGTACTAGTAGATCCTCCATCATCATCCGACTTGCCCTGGCCACTGCTGGACTTGAAAGGAACGTTGCTGGCCGAAAAACAATAGACTGAATTCGTTGCCAGCTGGGCAATGACGACTGCCAAGAGCCCGAGGCGGCAGGGAGAAAGCTTCATGATGTCTTGATAATAGAAGAGTCCAATACAGAGACAAAGAACCAACAAAGATAATAGGAAGGAGATTCGCTTTGTTCAACAAGTTGTTTGTTTCATCGGCAACCCGTGAATTTGTGATGGGTCGCGAAGCATCCCAAAAAGATACCCGCCAACAACAACGAGTGGCCATTTGGCCGGAAGCAGCTGTTCGTGACACTCCCAGAACCTTCCAGAAGAAAGAACAAAAGCCGTTACGAAGATGCCGTTATCGACTCCTGCAGTCAACCAGATTGACCGTTCGTCAAGTTGCACCAAAATCCCAATTCTCTCGAAATCCCCAAACCTTTGCCCACGTGGTTCAGTACACTGGCCGGCGCCAAAAATCCAACTTCTTTCGTCTTCAAGCCACCAACGAAGCATGAAAGGGTTTGAAGAAATATGAAAGCTCACAATTTTCTTGATTCGTCAACTCAAACAAACAACAACATCAAAATGAAGACCGCCATCATCGCATCCCTTATCGCCTCTGCCGCTGCCTTTGCCCCCGCAAAGAACGCCGCCAAGACTTCGGTCGCCACCAACATGGCCTTCGAAGACGAACTTGGTGCCCAAGCTCCTCTTGGATTCTTTGACCCCCTTGGTATGGTTGCTGATGGAGACCAAGAAAAGTTCGACCGCCTTCGTTATGTTGAGATCAAGCACGGACGTATCTGTATGCTTGGAGTTGTTGGATACCTTCTCAACGCCGCCGGAGTCTACCTTCCAGGAGACATTGACTACTCTGGAACCAAGTTCTCCGACCTCGGATACGGATGGGATGCTTCCTTCGCCGTCCCTGTGGCCGGTGCCCTCCAAGTCTTGGCCTTCGTTGGTCTTTTGGAGCTTGCTGTCATGAAGGACATTGAAGGAACTGGAAATGAACACGTTGGTGATTTCCGTAATGGAGCCCTTGACTTCGGCTGGGACTCTTTCGATGAGGAGACCAAGCTCACCAAGCGTGCTCTTGAAATCAACCAAGGACGTGCCGCCCAAATGGGTTTGTTGGGACTCATGGTCCACGACAAGCTTGGAAATGTTGAGAACTTCTTCCCCAACTAAAGAGCCCACCCTGCTCCATCTTGCTACAATAAAACGTTCCAGAACCTTTGGGCACCCGCCCTAGTTCGGGAATGGCATAGATGTCATACTACATAGTAAACGTGCTTTTTCTCGTCCAATTTCTTCTTCCTCATGAGTTGATTGGAAGCAACGAAATGCCGATTTAGGCTCTCGCAGCCAGCATCCGGAACAAGGTCGCTCGCTCGCTAGCAGAGTGGACGAACGAGAGGCGCTTTCATTTACCTTTTATTCGTTTCATCATCCAATGAATAGGCTTCTTTTTGCGCTGTTGCTTCTCGGAATCATCTGCTTCTTGTGCTGCTTCAGCTGGTGGGTCTTCGCCTCCGCTCATATCTTCTGCCCCTTCCTCTGCAACTGAAATTTGAATCTCTGCTGGCACAGGGACTGTTTGATTCGGCGTATCATGGTTCACTGCCTTGTTTCTAAGCCCAGAGTATACGCTGCCAATGCCACTTCGAAGACCAGAGACCACGCTGCCACCCCTATTCCTCAGACCAGAGACCACACTATTGTCGTTCCTCTGACCAGAGAAAGCGCTACCATTCCTCAGGCCAGATACCACACTTCCACCTCCACCAGTATTTCTCAGGCCGGAGACAACGCTGCTGTTGTCGTTCTTTACGCTACTGGCCATTCTCACAACCGACCCAGTAGTTGTACTGCCAACTCTCACAACCGAGCCAGCGTTACTGCCAACTCTCACAACCGAACATACAGATTTGATAACCGAGCAAACAGAGACGTTGTCAAGCCCCTTTTCCTCGACAGTATAGGAGACAGAGCCCGAGTCGCCAACGTTGCCTTCTTGCCGGCGGGACAGGAACTCTAGGTTGTCAGTAGCTGCCCGTGTGTCCGGATGCGCCTCTCCTAGAATAGCCTTTCTCTTTTCGCAGCAAGCGTCCAAGAGCATGGCTGCCTTTTCAAAGTCCCCTTGCTCTGCGTTCAGCGATGCGACATTGTTCAATAGAGTGAGGGTATCGGGATGGTCCTCTCCGAGAATCTCTTGTCGCTTTGACAAACATTGCTCTAGAAGAACAAGAGCTGTGTTGTTCTCTCCTTGTCGCATGTACAAAACTGCCAAGTTGTTGACAGATGACAACGTGTCTGGATGATTTTCCCCGAGCACGGACTGCCTTCGTTCTAGGCAATCTTGAAATGTCCTTTTGGCTAAATCGTACTTTTTTAATCTCATGTACACCGCACCCAGCCTGTTCATGGAAGCCAGCGTCTCCGGATGGTCCCCCCCCCAAGAAGGACTGTCCTCTTTGCCAGGCACTGCTTCAAAAGATACTCTGCTTGAAGGTTGTAGCTCTGGGCACTGTTCCATCGTGCCAGCGTATCCATGGATCTTAGTGTGTCTACGTGGTCCTCTCCTAGCTTCCTAGTTCTTTCTTGAAGACACTTACGAACCAGATCTTTGGAGTCACCGTATCTTCCTTGATCCATGTAGACACATGCAAGGTCGTTGGTGCACTTGAGCGTGTGAGGATGGGTTTGCCCGAGATCTTTGGTTGCCTTTCCCACGCAATCCTGTAAGAAATGTGATGCCTTGTCATAATGACCCTGCCCTTGATAAAGCAGACCTAGAGTTGACATGGATTTCAACATGGCATCCGTTGATACTTCATTGGCCCACGAGCGATACCGTTCAAAGACCATAGAATTAATCTTGGAAAAGCCAATCGTCTGCTCTGTAGCCTCAAATATCATTGCGCGGTCCTCATCGAGGAAGCACTGGCTTTGCTCAGCACGAACAGTGGCCAACATTCGATTCATAGCACCATTGGTATCATGAGTAACATCATTCAGAAATTGAAGACGATCTGTTTCACTCATTGCAATCTCAAAGGGGCAGTCTCGGGTAGCACTGCAGTAGACTTCCCAGATACACCATGCTCGTTGAAATGGTAGTGGGTCATTCCATGGACTGAGCACCATGACTGTATGCCCAATTTCTTCTACAGCTGATTTGAAGCTATAATGGAACCATTCAAAGTCTAAGACTTTTGCTGCGTGTTGATTGTTTGAGAAAAGACAGAACCAGATGATGGGGTCATCATTCTTGATATTGGACCGTTGTTCCATATGAGTTACCACAGCGTCCATAACGTCCAAGAACTTGCACTTCCAAGCATGGCTGATAAATACATTGGCCTTCCCGACTGCAGGATGTTCATTTATGCTCAACCAGTCACAAAAAGAAGTTTGCGTTTCCTCTGTCCATGGTTTGACGAATTTCTCGCAGATATCGGTTGTGGTCATGCCTTCCAGCTCTTGCTTTCCACCACAGGCCTCGATGAACTCAGCCAGATGAGAGAGGCGAACTCCACTTTTTGGGAAATCGTCTTCGCCAGGATACATGTCACTGTCATCGTCGTCAGACGACAACTCGAACAAGAACCGACCTTCCGGTTCCAGCCCACGTTGTGACTCCGGGATGCCCTTGCTGTCCTGATTCTTTTCTCCCGAGCAATCAGTGTCGTTACCATCATCCGATGTCCCCTCCTCGACAACGACATCTTCCGGTTTCGATGCGGTAGCTCCCATTTTCCCTTCAGCTAAATGGATGGCATATGTTGCTTGTAGACTCCAGTGTCAGGCAAGGGGAAGAGGAGTGGAAACCTGTTTCCTCACGCAATTCTCGATCTTTGACAGCGTGGGAAAGATAGTTTTCACCCTAGTAAAGCACGACTCGAGGCGCCAGGTGAGGGGTGCCAGCTCTCGTTCTTTGGTCTCCGTGCTTTCGCCAAAACCGGTCCTTCTTGACCAAGCATTGGGTTCCATCCAGGAGTTTGCCAGTGTTGCTGTTCAAAGGCGAGGAATACCGGTATCGTACCCAGGCCAAGTTCATTTGTATGTATCAGTGAAAGAGAAGGAAAGAAAGATGAGCTTCTCTACCTTCTTGCGACCCAGAAAGAGGCGCGGCGCTTCGTCGTTTGACAACCAAACATCGCATCCACAACCCACTCTTCCAGTCGAAAGGCCCCGCCACAGGAGGCTCATGTTGGTGACGGTCCGTTTATCAAAGAGAATGATGATATTAGTATTTGTTATTGTTGCACTCTTGGCGGCTGCAAATCCATTCTTTGTCAACTTCTTTGAGGAAGTCAACTACATCTTTCACAAGTGTTCCATCGTGGGAGATTTTCTTCTTCTCAAGAGGCGTCAAAAACCAAATGACAAGATCATCTACTACCTGCATCTCAGCAAAACTGCAGGTACCAGCTTTATGGACGCGGCAAAACGTAATGGACTCTCGGTACCCGTAAGGAATGGCCTCACACAGCGAGATTGGAGATGTTGTGGAGGAAAGGACACGCTCGAGGCGCAGGAAGCCTTTTTCAACACGAGCAAATTTGATTTCGTCGCCAATGAAAATGACATGTACGACGCCATGGATACCAATCATTACGACTACGTGGTAACATTGCGAAACTCCAGAGCTCGATACCTATCCATGTGGGCACAATGGCAGCGTGACCCTGTCATGGCATACGCCAATCCCATGAACTTTACAGCTTGGTGCCGATGGTTCTACGAAGACAACTTTATGTTGCGAAAGATTTGCGGATCTCGGTGTCGCGAGAAACCCAAGTACAGTCTCACACGAGACGACTTTGAATACACTCTCAAACGTTTGCAAAAGTTTGACTCAATCATGTTCATGGAAGATTTTGCAGCTTCCTATGCCAAGTTTGCCAAGAAACATGGATGGAAATCACCCATTAACAAAATCCGAATATCGCCTCCTGTCAAGGGTCGTTTGGCAACGCTTGTCAATCAGGTTGATGACAGTGATTGGGATTACCAGGAGTCAGCTCTTGACGACGCCGTCTACGAGTATGCACTGCGAATAGACGGCGGCATGCAGCCGTACGACGGTTTCTCAAGACCAACACGACAACATCTGGAGACGTACTTTGCCAAACAAAAGAAGTAACAGGGCTTTGCTTCCATGTAGGTAGAAGATAAGCAAGTAAGTAGTGGCTTACTAGCTACTGAGCAGTTTTACAGTGCCTTCTCCGGCTTTGTCCTGGCATGGTCGGTCTAACACACACCAGGGTAGACACGGTGCCTGAGTGTTGGTGGCCGGACCAACTGGAAGGAATGGCGTTGCTACAGCCAAATCAGAAACGTTGTCAACGGTCACGACAACAATGCAAGGCATGTACATGTTACGACAGCTGAGCTAAAGAAACACGTGATGCCGGTACCAGTAGGCCCATAATATGAAGTGGTTATAGAATAGATAATAGTCATGAAGCTAATAATGTAAAGAAGTCTCCAAAGCGGATCGCTTGTTCACTCGTTGTTGAGATCCAGATCTTGCATTCGTTCCGAGAGGTTGGTATTGAGAGAGCTCACCGATGCGAAAGATCGCTCATCTTCGTATTCGACGTCATCATCATCACCGTTGGATCCACGTTGGAAGTGAATATCATCGTCCAAATCAAACTCCACGACAACAGTTTGTCTCAGCAACCGATGATGATGGCTGGTTGCCCCAAGGCTGCCGACCGCCGCTTCCCCAACTTTCTGGTTACTGTTGCCCTTTGAACCAGTAGTAGTATCGATTTGCTGTTTGTGAAGGCGCACCGAGTCGATGGAGAAGGCTATGGAATCATCGTCATTCCCGTTGGCGGCCTCTTGTTGCACCGAAGGCAACGAGTGAAGCGAGGTTGTGGAGCAGAACGACAACTCGTCATCATCCTCCATGATGGATGTCACGGATTCCGTCATCTTTTGCAACAGCGTCTTCTCGCCATCCTCCTGAGTGACGGATTCAGTCTCTCTCAAGACCTCGCTGGTCACTTCCAAGCGGTGTTGCAGCAAGGCAATGGGGCTCGTGTCTTTGCTGCTGGATGACAAAAAGGAGCCCTGTCTTGATGGGAGCTCGAGACAAATGCCAGCACTAACACTATCGTCGCTACCTGGCGACTGCACAGACGACCGATTGGACATCATTTTGCGGGCCATTGCAAAGAGAGCTTTCGGGTCGGAAATGGTGCTTGGATCTGGGAGTTGCAGAATGGGACGATTCTCGGTAGGACCATATGGGGATGAAAAGGGAGTTCTTCCACAATCACCAGCACCTGAAAGCAATCTCCGACTCTTGTTCTTCTTCTGAGCCCGTTTAGGTCTCGCAAGCCCGGCACAGGAGCTCTGGCTGGTAGTAGAGGCTTCTGAGGAAGACGAGTTCCTCTTTAGCCGAGGCGTCCTAGAGGAGTCTGATGAGACACAAGTGTCCTGAACCGTATCTTGGGACTTGGTGTTCCTGAATATGGCAGCTTCTTTGTGTCGTTGAGCGGATCGGGTCAGTTCTGCCACGGCATCGGATAGCTTGTCACGAGCAGACCCATTCAACTTGACCAGAGGCCTTCCTTTGTTGGCATCACCACTGGTAGCAGTGTTTGGACTGGCATTGGCTGAGTATGAAGGCCTTCTGGACCCACGTCGTGCTCTTGTAATGAGGTAACGGAGACTGGGATTGGAGGTCGCGGTATCTTCGTCGGCTTGACCCATTCGCAAGAATTGTTCTGCTCTACCAAAGGAGTTGGATCGAATGGCACCAGGAAATTTGGAGGAGGACGAAAGGGCAGGGGGGATGCAAGCAGCCATCATGGCTCTGCTTCCTTCAGAGAACTTCATGTTGTGACATGGACGGGCCATGGTGAAAGATCTTCCTTTGCCACTATTCGCATCCCGAAACGTTTTGAGTTGCTTCATGTCAGCCGGTGTTGCTCTCTTGACCATTTCCTTGAATTCCTTCCTTCTTGGCCTGCTAGAAGCATCATCGCTGGAAGAAGGGCGAATGGAGCTCGCATAGCTTGAAAGACGTGGCACTCGTCGTGACCCATCACTGAGGCTGATCTTCAGGGACGGCCGTCCACTCATCATGGTTGTCTCCAAGCAGTTCATGATTTACCTTCTTTACTAAAGGCTTTTAGACTGATCACTCACTTGTCAACACAACCAAGTCTTAATCTCAACTACTAGCTCAGTAGCTCTTGAGAAGCGAACTGTTGGTCCCAGTTGAACTGCTAGCTAGATGGATGGAGTAGCCAGGTAGATGGGTGGATACACAACCGATGTTGGCAGTAGCTAGCTAGTAGCGATCACTTGTTGACGGGGCGAAGCCGTCAGAAAAGTGAGAAGTGTGGAATACGAGGCCACACCAAACCAAGGGTGAATGGATGGGAATACCAAGATCCTGATTGCTATCCAACTTCCCTTGAACGAAATGGATCCAATAGTGGTACAACCAGCTGCTCTTACAGTGACAACACCAGAAGATTCCTAAGGTATCCGCTGATCCGCTGCTGCTTGTTTCTCGGTTGCGAACTGCCAGTGTCACTAGATGAGCTCTAGATGATACCCCAAGTGTTGCGATGCCCAAGAGAGATGCTCAGGACTAAAATGTCAAGGGGTGGTGTGTTAATGGGTATTTCCAACGATCAGATGCCGTCTGAACCAGCATCCCTTCTCTTTAAAAATAAATGATCAGCACAAAAGATCAGAGCGCTTTTTGTTTTTGCGTTCGCCTTCGCTCTCAGGCTTCATTCCTCATCCAACGCAGGAACCGGTTGAAGCCAAAGCGGCAGAGATGCGGTGTGATGCATGATGGATGGTTACCCAGCAAAAGACTTCAAGACTTACCTGGACTTCTACCGCAGAAAATGTACCGGTAAGACCTATACCAAATTTACGCGGCAGCGGCCTTCTTGATTGGGGCAGTTTTACAAAGGGGCTACTAGAGAGCTAGTACCGCTATCATGTATCATGTACTCGTATCATGTTTAAAATAATCTTCTCTCGGGATCTCTGTACCGCGCTTCAACTACTAGCTAGTATGATAGTGAAGTTGAGCCTGAAGTTGTGTTCTTCAAAGCATTTCCCTCCTGAAATAGAATCTTTCTCATGGGACTGGTGGATTTATTATCCAAGTCTACCTTCTCGCTGGGGCATCTGTGAATAAAGTGACGTAAGAATCAAGGTGAAAACGTGTGTTCGCTTCGCTCCTTTCGGATTTTTAAAAACAGATAAATCACTATACATACAGTAGTTTAGTAGTTTCATATTATTAATAGTACATACAGCAGTCCTGGCAGTCTCGAAAGCATGGATCAATTACTTGCGAACTTAGTTGCCGCTTGTTAAAGAATTCCAAACACGTTACTCCAGTAGCCGAGTACTTCAGCCTTAGTTCTTATGGACACCGGTGTATTACCATTAACTACTTTCTAAAGGAGCAAACACACAACGCGAACGCGATACTATCAACTCACTGGATCATGCTCTACTGATTACTGTACCGGTAATGTACTGTTCGGCCGTACATGTACGCACGGTGGTACGGTAGCTGGGTAAGGAGAGCGGTGCTGTACAGTACCGGTACCTGTGATACCGGAACTATTATTGTATTATTGTATGTGCAATGGTGCGGTGTCACGTGTACAAACGTAGTTTCGAATTTGACACTTCAAATCAGCTTCAAAACTAACAACGTGGCCTTTAGAGGAAAAAGAATCAGCAATACGAGAGTCAATAAGTCATATGTATCACCTGTATCGGGCATCCGGTGACACTTTTAGTGGAAAGTTTGAATGGCATTCTTTTCACCATTCCAGTCTCTTGTTTGTGTCTGGCTTTGGTCATTGTCCAGAAGGAGAACAAAACCACGAAGACATAATCTGTAAAAGGAATAAAAGTCAACTTGATTTGTTCATGAAAGACGTATGAGTACTTAACGATCTTGTTTATGTTCCAGTACCATTAACAAACTATAGTTCCATCGTCTTTTCTATGCCAGCAGCAGGTCATATTAGGGCCTCTTTCCGTTAAAGCGGCTTCGGCTACTTAGAGGGAGCGCAGTCTTCAATTTGTTCCGCGGCTTTGAGCGGCAGACTTCGGTCTGTCAACTTTGCAACTTCGCCGTGAAGTGTCTCGTGGGGTTGCCGTGTTGCCGTGTTGCCGTAGCAGACTAGTAGCACTAGTACCAATACTACTAGTACTGAGCCAATGGCCAGCTAGCTAGACTAGACTACTTGCTGCTTCTGGATTTTTTGATCTTGGTGTTTGCGTGAATAAGGAAGCATGGCTTTTGATTTGGAACCGAAGCTATCGCACATAAATTTTTTTCTTTGTGAGCGAAAGAAAGCCTTCAGATAGCACCCATCACTAATATCTTTGTTTCTATTCCTCGAGATCTTGACAATGGACAACCAAATCCTCCCTGAAGACCAAGCCAGCCCTAGCCTTGCGCAGAGCTTCAACATTCTGGGCCTCCCGGCTTACACAGCGATAGCCATTGTCCCGGACAATGCCGCTTCATTGCCCAATTGCATGTCCAAGACCATGAGACACTATCTTCTCAAGACATTCCCGGATCTTGCTGTGGTTGCGGAAGAGTCTCGGTGGGAGAGCCAACCTGCTGTTTCGTCTAGGATTGGCACCCGCAGTGCCCCTCTGCGTTCCTTGCTACCCATGGCCCCCCAACGCCAAGACAGCATCCTGAGCTTTTCTTCTTGCTCCACATCAGGCAGCAGCTGCAGCAGCAGTAGCAGTTCCAAGAGTTCCACAGGATCTTTGAACCGAAGAAGTCTCCTCGCCCGTCAAGGAAGCACTATGAGTCTACTGGTGCGTCAGAGCAGTCTCCGAACCGTTGGCGGAGGAGTCGGTTTGCCAAGGATGCCCAAACGCCAAGACAGTGTTTCTTTTCTGTTTTAAGTGAATGGCAGGTGAAGGGGGAGACCAGGAAGGGAACCCAAGCAATTTGGCAGGACAACGGTTGACTTCAAGGAATGCATATAGATCGACCTCCTGCGGGTACATGAATGCCTCTCAATGAAGCGAAAGGTCGGTCTGCATTTGGAACCAGTCCAGGGAAAACGGAGAGACAACATGGCGACGGATGAATACAGGTCAACCTCACCAAATGGATGCCTCTCACAGCGAAGCGAAAGGTTGACTTGCACTTAGATGACTTTTTTACAAGTAGGATCGTAACATGCATAGTAACACTCCATGATACACAATCACAAAAACAACTTCAGTTTGTAGCGGAAGCTCGGATGCGGTGATCGGTGGCGGATCCAACACAGACCCCCTTCCCCTCTTAAGAAAGGGCGTGCTAGCTGGGAGGCCCTTGTCCCTGCTCGTCTGGCTCATTTGGAAGGCAAGAGCCGCAAGACCTTCCCCCGAACACCGCCCATGACCATCAAGCAACCGGTGAGGAGGACTAAAACCCAGAAGTTGCGTCCTTAGACCGTCTGTCCTTCTAACAACCACCGAGTGTGACTGCTAGTAATAGCTATGAGGTGGCCATGCGGCAACAGGAAGTAAACCAAAAATTTTGGCTCGATGAGGGCCCTGAGTAGTCTAGAAAATGATGGGCACAACCGTAGTCGCAGCTATGCACGTGTACTTCGTTGCCTGGTGTGAGAGAAGCAAGAGCAACCCACAAAGCAACAACATCACAGGCATGATGCATACTGCAGACAAATCAGCAAAATTAATGTGGAAATCACGCGCTCAAAAAATCCTCATTTGCAACGGCTCCGTTTCATCCACCCGGAAGATGCATAGAAACCGTTGTTTTGCCGTTTTTGGCCAAGCGCACCTCCCCACTCACTGCTTCCTCTCCACTATTTCCATTGGCGAATTTTTCCCTAAACGACTTGACCAAACCCAACTCATTTTTTCTCTTTCTCTGGTTGTTCCGAAGGAATCGAATCGTCGCCTATCTTTTCGCACAATGCCTTCCACTTCAGCTAGCTAGCTAGAGATAGAGGGCAGGTCGAGGTTGTTCCTCAGATTCTACTCGTTGACTCCTTTATTTTCTCTCCCTTTGCATCCATCCAAAGTCCAAGGGAAAATGGCTCAAGATACGTGTGCGATTTGTTTGGAACCATTGATTCAGCATGGAAGTAGTGATGAAAACATGGAGGCCATAGGGGCTGCCATGTGTGGGCACTGTTTCCATTGCGATTGCTTCTGGAGGTGGGAACAAGCCAAGAGTTCACAGAACTGGAGGTCAATGAGGTACAACGCTGCTTGTCCCTGCCCCGTTTGCAACCAACCCGTTATGGAGTTCATTCGCTTGTACATCACCGGAGACAAGAGCGAGAATGAAAGATTGAAGAAAGAACTGAAGAACGCCAAGAAGAAACTGGCAAAGGAACGTGTCCGTCTCCAGCGGGCGCAAGATGAATTGAAAGCTGCCACAGGTGCCAGAGAAAGGACCTCATCCACCATCGATAGATCCATTTCGGCACCTCGGTCTCGACGAACGTTTGTACCGTCCAACCCCTTCGCATGCGGTGGGGAGGAAAACGACGATATCCAAGCGCTCTGCGACACCGTGAGGTTGCTGCTTGCCATGCCGTCTTCACCAACTCCTAACAGAACCATTACGAATGCTGCAGCCCCTCGTTCGTATCGAGCCTACGAGTCATGTCCTACTGTTGACTATGGTACCACAGTTGTCTCTGCATCGAGCACAGACCCTGTTGTTCCTTCCACGGATCGCATTTCGCTTCCTCCTCCGCCAACGAGTCAAGTCCGTTCTTCGCGTACATTGAGATCTGCTCCCGCAGGCAGTGGGCGAGACGCTACATCCCGAGGAGATGCTCCTTCTGCTGGCAGTGTTTCAGCCACAAGAAGTCGTGCCCCACCTCCAAGGCCGGACCCAACCGAGGCGGATCGCAGGTTGAGGAATGCACGTCCGTCCTCGCCTCCTCTGTCGGAGCTGTTGTGGTTCCCCGAGTTTGAACCTCCCAGTTGCCGTTCTTCAATCGACGCGGACGGCAGGTCATCTGCGAGGGGATCGTTGATTACGGGAGGTAGTTCCTCGAGAAGCGACCCTCCGCCATTGCAAAACTAAAGTTGGCGCATGGATGATCTCCTCGATTGGGTGGGCATTGCCGGGTGGGCATACCCAAGATCGTAATCTTTCCCAAGTAGCAACCAAAACAAAGCCATCAAGGAAGTGTTGAGGAATGTGCCAAATACACTACAAGAAGCAAAGCAGTAACGCTGGTTAGGTAACCTGAGTTCTTTTTTAAAATTTAAGCGAGATCGCCTGTCCTAGAGTTCTTTAAGGCTTGTCTCTGTCAATCCCAGTAAATTATATTTAGAATACTCACTTTTTGCTGCAACTGATAAGTTGGCTTCGTATCCGTCTAGCTAGTTACAGAAGTACCGCAGCTGGCTCAACAGAGACCATGTCAGCCTCAGCCATCCAGCACACATGGCCCTATCCTAGAGTTCTGTTATCGAAGCTGGCTTCGCATCCGTCTAGCTAGCTACAGAAGTACCGCAGCTGGCTCAACAGAGGCCATGTCAGCCTCAGCCATTCAGCACACAGGGCAACGTGCCCATTAGCGTTTGCCCTCAGATGTTGCTATGTGCTCTGCAGCAAGCTACAACACTACCCGTCCAAGCAGCATCCTGCATGCACTACTAAAGCACAAGATCTATCCTACATGTATGGTAAGGCGGATGTCTGATGTGTTGGTGGATCTAAGTAGTAAAACATCTATTAATAAGCCCATTTAGTGTACGTAATGCACAATTATCTGCCCTCTCGCCCGTCAGCGCATCATATGCACCTATCAGCTTTCTTGCTGGTAAGGTCTCCGTCAAATGAGTACATGGTGTCCACAGAGGAGACTGAGTCGAAATCATCGACAATCATGATTGGGTCGCTTTCTGTGGTCTGTCGAGGGGTTATTGCCACCTGTTTCCGACGGACTTCAATAGAATCAATCTCGGAAAACAGATGCTGATCATCCATGGAAAAGGAAGAAGCAAGGGAAAAGACGCTCATGTCGTCGTCGTCGTCCTCCTCTTCATCGTTATCAAAGCAATAGTCGCTTTGTTGTCTCTTGGTGCTCATGTCCGTGGAAAGAGGTGAAACTTGATTTTGCCATACTTGACGGTACATGCTGATCAGGTCCGCAGTGCTTTCGACTGCTTCAGGTCCAAAGGAAGAAGAAGCTGATGGGCCAGCAGGACATGATGTGTAGGAGTGGTTCTGGACGCGATCAGGAAGCGACCGCATCGTCCTTGTTTGCTTGATGGAGGGTTGCACGACAATCATAAGAGGAGGCAGTTCGCTCTCGTCACCCGAGACGGAGCGAAGCAAGGCAGGAGCACTAGCCGGTGACATGGTATTATTCGCGAAAGTATTCATGGTTGATGATGATGGACTTTGATGGAACGGAATCAGAAAGAAAATGGGTACGTATCCTCAGAGGTTGTGATGGTCGTTCAAGGCCAATGAGCAAAAGATACGGAATATGTCAAGAGAGGGAAGCAGCAATTGGATACAACGGGAAATGTGCTGGTAGCCTTTGCCGCTTGATGTTTCGAGATGAGACTTGACAATTTTGTGGACGTGTTGCGCAAAAAAATGAGATGCGAAGATGCTGCTATCCTTGTTTGTGAGCCTGAGACTAACAATGCAAGATGCAAGATCTTGAATCCGTCCTTGTTGGTGTTTGTTGCGGTTGAACTGGTCTGATTTCCAAGGCAAATCTAAGCCCTCGAAAGCGCTTAAAATTAAAAAAGTAAAGCCCTCACCGGTTCGCACTTGCTAAGCCCTGGCACAAACATGATTAAAACTGCGCGGCAATATTCACTCCTGGACTTTTGTGGCATCTGAGTGGCGCTTTCAATGCCGCCCTCTATTGCTCTAAGTATCTTGGTCGTGAAAATGCTCCAATACCAGGCATCTTGATCTTGGAACCCTGCTGGTTAGAGTCACAGAGCTGTCACAGCATGTAAAAACCTCTATAAGAAGAAGAAGCAACAGCAGGACAACAGGACCCTATTCTTTAGAGTCAAGTCCTCTGGAGAATGCAACTCAGCCAGACTGCACGGAAACAGCTACAATGATGGTGAGTGGTGAGCAGTGAGAGCCCAAAGGATCCGGAAGTGAATTAGAAAGTGAAGTGTGAACCGGTGGCGTTTCATTCATTTTTGTTTTTGGACTTTGCTGTCAACAGCTTGTTCAACGCATCCCGTCCTTCTATGCCACCGGGATGCATACTGTAGTTAGATGTGATAGCTGATGTATGTGCTGATGTGATGGTAGCGCTAGTACCGGTAGCCCCATGGCCACCGGTAGCAGCTGGCATCGGCAGTAGATCGCCACGAGAAAACAATTTTCGCAAAGATAGACGTTACTAAACTTAGTCTCGCGGGAGAAGCGCTACCAGCATCAGTAGCAGCTCCAAGTCTGCACGAAGCTCAATAGCCGGCTCAATATAGCAATTGCTTGCTCCAAGGCATTTGCATAGTAGCATACATGGCTGTAGTTAAAACCTACGCCAGGACGCCAGGCACTTGTGAGTTTAATAAAGAGAACCGCAGAAGCCCAACCAAGTATTTTAGACTAGCTAGTTGGTCTTCCCAGCAGCTGGCTGGGTGAGTGATCGCAACATGAGAGCCCAAGCTCCAAAACGGTTGTTGAAGCTGACGGAAACAATATTTGGGCTTCGGGGGGTGGCTACTGTACCGGTACCAGGTAGTCACTGTATCGGTAGCAAGCTACTCCATTAGTGTCGATGCGAATTCGATAGTAGCACTGCCGGCAAGCCAAACAATACCTACCGGTGGCATCAACGGAAGAACGGCAGCGCACTCCCGCAGCCAGCGCCGCAGGGTACAACTGTAGGAACAAATTCATTCACACATCTTCTGTGTGCGGCAAAACGGAAGCTTTTGCCGTTGCTGGATATTTCGGGCCACTCCTAATGCTTTGGATGTGGTACTTGAATTATTCAATCCAAGTAGCTCCTTTAATTAAAACTTATTAAATACCTGAGTCTCTAAGTACCCTGCGACTGTACTTGCAATTGTCATATACAGTACTGTTTCTGCTGCGCTGCTACCCTATGCTACCGTTCCGGCTAACCTGGTGGCTGGTGCTTACCGGTAAGCTTACTGTACGTGTACATTTGTTTCTGCATACAATCTGCCTTCACTGGTAAGCGCTTCGACTCTGACTAGAATCGAATCGAATCGAATCAACTGGAAGCAGCTATCCATCTACTATTTTAATTAAAATAGAGTACCATACCGCTAGTAGCTAGACCTATCTAGCTATCTGGTGGAGTAGTGGAGCACTACTCTTTACTCCAGTTTTCCAAAGTACTGTAAAGTAGATAGACAACAATATATAAATAAATAATGTACTTCGGTACCGCAAGTAATACTTACTGAGTTCTGTGGAGTACGATACTGAGTCGAGTCCATCCTCAGAGAGCTCCTCAGAGCTATCCTCAGTAAAATAAATAGAGTACATGTTACAGTAACAGTCGTACTGCACCGTCCGCGTCAATCATACATTTATGTCATAAACATGTACAGCTGTACCGGAGACCGGTGGATGTTGAATCATCGCCCAAATTGAGTCTCACTACCAGTAGTACCGGCAAGGCTTTCTGCCCCATGCTTCGCTGATTGACTACAGTATGGCTTACTACAGTACTCCGAGTACCCGTACCCCTAGCACGGTAAAACCGGTATCATCTCAGTCCTGCCTTGTGATTCTTCCAGCATTCCGAATCGAATCGAATCTACTGATACAGCTACTGATACCGGTACATCGTTGAACCTTGAAGATCTCAAGTCAATCCCTCGAGCGATGCCCTTAAGAAAAATAGAAAGTACAATGCACAAAGTTCGTAATGTGCCTGCTCGTTCCGTACAGTACCGGCACGGTACCGGTACGACCATGACGACGGAGGGAACAATGTCATAGTTTTTGTTGAGTACGAGTAGACTATGTAGACTACTAGTAGTGACTGCAGACTGCGCATGACGTACATTACATTGTTGTTTCCTCGTTCGATGGTCGATGGATGCGCGGCATCGCCACAGTGGCCACTCTGCACAGCCTTCATCAAAGAACAAGGGGCGAGTGAACCTCGACACGACAGCTGTAAAAGTGAATCCATCACTTTAATTCGTTGGTAAACGCAACATACCAATAACCTGCAAACACTCCGCTCCCGTGAACTTTAAAGAAGCCAAGCTCCCGTGAACTATAAGAAGACAAGCTCCTCAAGAAAAGTCTAAGCAGTACTTTATTAATACCATTTTTAAGTGATCTGTGCAAGCTGAACTTTTGAGCTAGACTCCCACTAGTCTAGCTAGTACATGTAGTATTAATACATTACACAGAGCAGTAGCAGCAGCTCCACATAGCAAGTTGTAGAGTACGTAGCAGGAAAGCCTACCAGCAACCAGAAGCTACTACGAGCAGCTCTACGAGCAACGCTGGTGAAGATGGATGATGCAGCAGCAAGAATACTATTTCTGAATGGCTACTAGCTAGACTACAGACAACAGATAGATTGGGCCAAAACTTCATAGCAAGATCGTACCGGTAGAATGCAGAAGGCACATGTATGTACAGAACGGGAAGGCTTCACAGTTCACAGCTTCACCTTTTACCAGTCGCCTGTCACCTGCCACCAGTACTTTGTGATTGTGATACATGTACCGAACAGAACACGGGAAGGCGTGAAGGTCCAAGACATTCACCAAATAATGAGACTCGTCACTCATTGTGTCCTTCACAGCTTCACAGTGCACCACGATAGTCCAGATCTACTCAGCGCTCAGCGGTACATGAGCTTTTATTAACAGTAGGAATAACCACTCCGCACCGGTTGCCGGTAGCTTTGCCGGTGCTTCTATTATTTCTAAAGTCGGCCAACAAAAGCCCCCCTCAAAGTAAAAACGTGAACTTCAAATAAGGAAACGCAGCTCGGTGGTTCGTGGGGATGGTGACAGTGGTACTACCGTCTCCGTAGCTTGGTTGCTTGTTTGCATTTTGCATGGTTGTTGGGACGTGAAGTCTCAAGCCTGCACAGCGGCTAGCATAAACTTGGGGCGCTAAAGTTGTTGTTTCCCACAATTGTTTTTAAATTACAGGGACTGATCATGACCTCCTTGTCTCCTATTTGTTTCGCAGGGCTTTGCTTTCGACAAAGATCCAGTTGGAAAGAGCTCTAGATAGCTCCAACAATAGCCAACCTTTGCCAAAATTGGAGGCTTTACAACATGTACACGTACATGTAGCTTGAGAATTGTCGTCTATCCGGTCGCCAAAGTCATGTTGCCAGACATCCATATATTATGATAGACCATTGAGAAGCAACCTGCCCATTTCCAAAGCAACAGCTTCTGAAGGGATACCATACACAGCCCCATCAGTCCACTACTAGAGTTGTATATGCCAGATGGCTATGCATGTCTGAGATTGATTGGGTAATAGAAGAATATTTATTGGTATCTACATGTATCTAGAGTGACCATGAGTCTTGCCTCTTCGTTGTAACTCATGAATCTTTTCTATGTGGGCAACGGTGCTTGGTTTTGGTATGGTTCTTGCAGCCTATGTACCACTTGCAGGTCAGTTCAGACCTAACATGTATCGTGGGCGGTGTGCTGCCCCCACTCTTGGACCCAATCTCGGACCTAGACTATTGGTATAAGTCGTCCTAGCTTTGAACACACAACCAGCTCAACTCCATCTCCAAGAAACCAACAACATGAACCAACTGCTGGCTAACTAGATCTACCGCTGGCTCATGCTCGCTACTAGAGCGGAGCCACTCGGTACTGTCGCCTACCTACCCAGCCGGAGCCCTGCCTAACCCGCTCCCTCATGAGTTTTCAGTTTAAGCCAGCTGAGCGGATGTTTTGAAAGTCATCGATTGGCATTGTCACACTCCTCGAATGCCACAACCACCATCAGGAACCAACTTTGGTCAAACCCACCACCCATACATGTAGCATTGCATCCATTATTGTCCGTCGCCGTCAGCCTTGTGTGCCCTCCATTTAGCAAGCAACCAAACAACACGGAACAGTAAAAAGCCATGACCAACGGCAAGGTTGCCTTTTCTCTGGGCGGCAAGAAGAAGAAAAAGACATCGTCCAGCAATAAGGAGGTATCCGCTCGTGATTTTGGTCATGCTACCGAAAAAGACGATGATAATGGGGAAGAAATTCGCTCGTTTGATGGCACGGAAGTTCGAGATGTCAAGGAACCTTTGGTGATTCCTCTCACGCAACCCGCCAATACGTTGGTCGATCGGATCCGGCAGGAGTTGCAAGGCAAACAACAGCAGCGACAACAACAACGAGAAAATAATGGCGTCAAGCAGGAAGACACGTCTGATGCTACAGTCAAACAAGAAGGCGACAATGGGGATGTCAAAGACGAAGAAGTCTTGGAAGCGGTCTTGTCATCCGCTAATAGGAATAATGCCACAAACGGAGGAGGCCAAGCTGCTGGACCAGTCATTTCCTCCAGTGACAATGTGACCAGTGCTGCGCGGATTACGAGTAATAATAATAACAACAACAACAATATCAAAGACCACTTGGAGCGAGAATTGGAAGAACTTCCGGATGAAGCCGACGACGAAGCCTACGAAAAAATTCCCATTGACCAATTTGGAGCGGCATTGCTGCGTGGGATGGGATGGAATGAATCGGCAGAACAAAAGCCACAAGATTCCAATCAAATGATGGGGAGTATTCCACGACCCTCACGGTTGGGCTTGGGAGCTATTCCCAAGGCACCGGGTGGAGTGGGAAATGCCTTGGATATGCCATCCGTATTGACGGGAAGAAACAAGAACAAAAAGAAAAAGTTGACTGACAACCAAAAACGACAACAAGAAGAATTTGAAAAACAACGAGAATTGCAGAAAAAGCAGGACAAGCAACAAACGAGACAAATTGGGAGCATTGTGTATCTGTTGGATGAAGATAATGACAATGACGCCAATAACAATAATAATACTGGCAGCCGAAAAAGAAAAAGAGCCAAACTGGTTCAGCTCATGGGGGTTCCAGGCTTGAATATGGCGTTGGCGCAGTTGGAAGGCCAGGCGGAGCCCACTTCCATCAAAAAGGGAAAGTTGGGACCTTTGGTGCCACGGTCCGAGTTGGCACAAGAACCCTTTGTTTTACCCAAACCACGACCCCCAAAGGATGACAATAAACGCGACGAAAGGAGCCGGCGAGACCGCAGTCCAGAAGATCGTCGACGTAGAGATCGCAGTCGCAGCACAAGTCCCGATCGACAGCGCAAAGATGACCGAAAGTCCGATCGAAAGCGAAAAGAACGGGATGATGATAGAGACCGTAGCCGGAGTCCCAGAGATGATCCAAAGTCAGACCGAAGAAGAGACAGACGCGATCGAGAGAGAGATGACAGGGATTATAGCAGAGATAAGAAAAAGCGGAGGGACCGCGATGAGGATGATCGGAGACGAGACGATAAATACAATGGGAAACGCCGTCGCCGTGATGACAGTGGAAGCGGAAGTGAGAGTGACCGCGACAAGCGAAAGCGCAAAGATTCGCGGAGGGATGAAGGAGACAAGAAGCGTTCCAGCAATAGCAGACACGACAACAAAAGCAGCGATAGTCCCATGTGGATCATTCCCAACATTCGTGTCCGAGTGGTGACGGAAAAGCTTGGAAGGCGCTATTTCCGTCAAAAGGGCGTGATTGTGGACGTCACACGGAAACACGGGGCTACATTGCGGATGGATATGTTGGATGGAGGAAAGGATGCGGTGTTGGAACACGTACCAGAGAGGTATCTTGAGACAGCATTGCCCAAGTCGGGGGGTAACGTTATCGTTTTGACCGGGAAACACAAATGGACCAAAGGTAGGCTGATAGAGAGGAACGGCAAAACCGCCAAGGGATCTCTTCAAGTGTTTGAAGATATGAGCATCCTGACTCTTTCCCTGGATGACATGGCGGAATGGTGCGGTTCCTTGGATGATGATTTGGGCTGAATGATTGTGTTGAAATTGCGTGCTCTTGGTGCTGTGTTGTGATGCCTTTGCAGGTAATTAATTGGTCATTGTGTTTCTGGCTGTCTGCGCCAAGCTAGTAGCTAGCTCTTTTTTAAACTACTAGTAATAGCAGTTCTTGCTTGATAGAGAATCAGCCCCACTACTGGTACCAGGTAGCCAGTGCTCGTGCGGAATTGAACTGGGTTGGTGGCAAACGCAGAAATGCGGGGATTGTGGCTGCTGCCAGCTCCCCCCGCGAAGTTTAACGGCTGCTCTTTGACTTCAACAATCTTTTTGATGCGAGAAAAGCGGCCTTGAAACATCGTCTCGTCGTCTCCCATCTCTTCTCCAAGTGAAAGCACTCCATTTATCCCACAAGTTAGACTATAACAACGAATAGTTGTTGATCGGAGTCACCATTCTCCATTGTCGACCATGCCACCCATGGCGACGAAAAGCCGAGGAAGTATTCGGTCTCGCATTGGGAAATTGAACCCTGCCTTTGCTGCTGCTCATGGGATTCCCAATGCTGGTAGCAACGATTCCACAGAATCATCGGACGCTCCGAAGAAACAGACAGATAAGATTGCTTCCAAAGGGAAATCAAAACCTACTACGAGTAGTAGGAAGGAAGAAGTCCCCAAGAAAAATGTGGTGCTTCCAATTTCAGCCTCACCAGTCAAACATTCTCCTACCAACAACAAACAACCCAAATCAAGTGAGAAAGCTATTCATGCTATCGGCCGGGCTAGAACCAGTGGCAAGCTACAGGTATCCGATTCAGGATTGGCAACTCCATTGCCCACAGCACTGTTCGACTTTCCTTCTTTAGCTGATTCTGTGGACTATTCCTTGGACAATCCCAACAAACTCAAGCCGTGGGAAGCCCACGTTGCAGAGACTCTAGTACTTGTGGATTTCTCAGATAATGAAGGCATCACTGAGTTTCCTGTCATGGAGACTACTGAAAATCATCTCAGCACCAACAGTTTCGAGAGATATCGATCCGTTCAGATCTTTCGAGCAAGGCGTTGTCAGCTGCAATCCTTTCCAGTATCCAGCACATTGCCAGAGTCATGGCCACAATTAACCACACTGGACTTGAGTGGCAACCAAATGACAGGAAATTTCCCACTTCTTCATCTTCCCAAGACAATCCGCGAGCTAGATTTGTCTGGAAACCGTCTGTCTTCGCTCAAGAGTACCCAGGATTTCTCCACATCCATTGACTTGCCTCAGTTAGTTAGTCTGGATATCTCCATGAATGAAATCGCTTCCACGGGTATCAGTCCTATCATGCACCTTCCCTGTCTTCAGCGTATCAATGTGGGCCACAATCGGATTTTCAACTTGAACTTCATCTTGAAGGCAATCTCGTCATCTGAAAAGTCTCTCACTACGCTGCATGCACCCAAGAGCTTGCTCTCAGACTTGGATGGACAGCAGCCAATTGACTTGACCGAGTTTGTGACGTTGACCAGCGCCGATTTGAGCGAGAATTCACTTTGTCAGATCCCAAAGGTTCCCTTTACATTGCAACGCCTAAATGTCAATGAGAATAGCATCAAGAGTATTGACGGTCTCCTCGAGGACGATGGTGATGGGGATCTCATGCCATCCTCGTTGGTTGTGCTGCAGATTCAAAGAAACAAGATATCTTCACTGGATCCTCGTACAGTGGCCAAGCTGGTTCAGTTGAATCGATTGGACCTTCAGCGGAACTCGTTACAGGGCCTGCCGCTGGAATTAGGAAAGCTAACCAATCTACAATCAATGTTCCTGGAAGGAAACAACTTGAACTTGCTTCGAAGCAGTGGAATTCGAGGAGACTTGAATGACACCAAGGCGATCCTGACGAGATTGCGAAACCGTGCCAAAGCCGAGGAGCAAGAATCGAAAACAGCAGCGAAACAAGCTGGCAAACAGTCCACGTCCACGAGCGCACCGTGCGATGATACCGAGACTGTGTCGAGCGCATCCTCCAATTCCAGCGCGAAATCAAAACGAAGCAACAACAGCTCGTCCAATGGCGGAGGCGGAGAGACGGCTGCTATGCTACCCTCCTTGATAGTGGGGAAGAAATCGCTGAACTATGAGGGCAAACATGCTCACATGCTACCGTTCCAACTCATGGAGGAGCTCAAGACCAGCTCACACGATATTGTGCAACCGATTGAACATTTCAATGTTGCCAAGAACCAGATCCAAACCATTGAAAGTGATTGGTTTCAGCTTCTTCCGCAGCTAAAAAGGTTGGAAGCGCAGGACAATCGACTTGCCAGCCTGCCACCCAACATTCGTGAACTTTCCTTCTCGCACCTGTACTTGTCACGCAACAACCTCACCTCCCATGCAATTCAGTTCTCGATTCTTTACACAAGCCCCAAAAGCAACATGATCACCGATTCGCTACAAGTACTGGATTTGTCCTCCAACAACCTTGATAGCTTTGCTCCTGAGCTGCTACGTCATTTCAAGTGTTTGCGAAACCTCAACTTGTCACGGAACCGGATCTCATCTCTCCGCAACATTGTGGATGCACCTTATCCTCTGTACAGTCCCTGTCTCGAGCATTTGAGTCTATCAGACAATTGCATTGAAGACCTGGGAGGAGACGATTTTCCTCTTATGCTCTTGATTGGTTGCCCCAAGCTTCAAACGCTCAAGTTGGAAAACAACGAGATGGAAATGGTGCCCATGACTCTAGGGCTTTTGGAAAAGCTCAAGGCGCTGGATCTCCGTGGCAATCCGCAACGAATGATTCGATATGACGTTCTCGACAAGAGCACTCCGTATGTTTTACAGTATATGCGAAACCGCATGACGTCCAAAGTTAAGGAAAAGGTCAATACAAGACTGCAAGTTCTACGGGACCAGCTGTCGAACACCCCACAATCTGCAACCGACGCCGGTCCAATGGTACCACAAGTCATCTCGAATGATGCCGTTGCTTCTGTGATTGATGAGAATAAGAAAGCTCAAACCACATCCGCTCAAGAAGCTCCATCAAGCCTTGCGATTCAAACCAAACTTGCCAAAGTTGCCCCTCCTCCCCCCCCACCGCCGCCGCCACCACCTCCTCATCTTGCCAGACCAACCGCCTCTAGCAGGGCCAAAGCCACACCACCCAAGGCGACCACACCTTCGAGACCAACAGTGACAACAAAATTTAGTCCTAACAAAACACCATCTCCTCGTCGCCTGTCCAATGCCAAATCCAGAGCAGGTCTCTCCCCTGTGGCTCTGGGAGCCAATAGTCCCAGTAATGCAAGGCGGGGTTCGAGAAAATCCGAAGAAGCGACCGTCTCATCACCCTTGTTGAAGGAATTGGAAAAGAACATTGACGAGTTGTCCACCGAAGCAGACCGCCCAGGTCTCTCGGAAGCCAAACGGTATGCCGTCAAGAAGAAGCTAGCCATGGAACGATCCAAACGTCTCAAGGAGGAGAGACGCTTGAAACAAGAGCGAGAACGTTCTCGCCCTTACCGTTGAAATTATCAAGTGTAATGAGATCACTTACATCCATGGCAATCTATAGTCCTTAGAGCTGTCCTTCTAGTTAGATAACAAACTGAAAATAACCCAATAGTAGCTAGCTATCTAACATCTAGTAGACTACCGGGACCGCGGAATGGGTGTGGGCCACCAACACTTAGCTAATTTCCCTACTCTAAAACCCCCTTACACTTTGTGGGTACGCTGTACCGGTAGAGGAGTCCCTTTTGTGAAGGGACTCAACCCCGCCCGATGCATCGGCTTGGCGACCGTTGGATTGTTTGGGCTTCCTCGATTTGTCTCACTTGTGCACATCTATCGTCTCCATCATCGCGATTGTCAGATAATTTGAATGAATGTGGCCAAGAAGAAAAGTTGGTGTAGTCTAGCTAGCAGTCTGCATTGATTGATTGATTGAAGATTCGATTCAACTACATTGTATTGTTGGCGGTGTGTTTCCAGCGTGAGGCCTTCCAAACGTTGCTGTTTCATCATCGCAAGCACTCCCTTGGGCCTTCTTTCGATTAGATTTCCAACAAAGTTCCACTCATTTCATTTGTTTCCGTCATGAGAGGTGTTCCTTCCAGCTTTCCTACTGGCTACAATCTGCTATCATGGGTGTTGTTGTCGATATCACTGGGTGTGATAGCCTCCACATCCATGGCCTTTTCAGGTCCAACGACCCCGCCAAGCTCTGAGAGCGGCAATTCACAAGAATGCTCTGCAGATGGCACGTGCTCTCGCAACACCATCATGGGCATGGCGGATGCGGCTCCTACAGCTCCAGCGCATCAGCATCGTCACAAGCAAACGCAAAACCACACCACCCGAGAGACTGGGCTGAAGCAAGCATCCAAGGGAACGGATGCTGATGCAACAGATGCGAATGAGAAAAATGGTGAAGACGAACAAGAAGATCCTTTGTTGAGGTGGCTCTCGGATCGGGCAGTTCCGGATGCAAAATCTTGTGGTGTGTTTCTCGCGCCATCCACAATTCCGGGTGCTGGCTTGGGGATGTTTGCTGGTAGAGCCTACAAACGACATGAAGTTGTCACTCAAGGGGACGTTGTCATCCCACTATCTGAGATTGACTGGCATAGTGGATTTGAAATTGAAAACTTTCTGTGGGAAGAGTACACGTGGAGGTAAGGAGACTGCACTCGGAATGGGTATTCTCACTTTGCATACAAAACGAATTTGGCGGTTTGTGTCATGCCTCTCTGATGATCTCTTGTACATCATCTTGACTCCTTTATTATAGTGACTCCAGTTTCCCTCACATGACAGAAGAAAACGGCTATCAATCTGGTTTGCAAGGATGCTCTCCTGGAATTGGAGCTGCCATCAACTGTGATCTGCCCCTCGTTAATGTTGTAGATACTTGGTCAAAGATTGATGAAGGTGGAATGCATCGCAGCAAAGATCCTGGCGCTGGAGCCATCACACCGTACCACGATCGCAAATCAAAAGCCATACGAAGTATCCAAGCTGGAGAGGAACTTTACATTGACTACGGCGAGAACTACTTTGAAACCCGAGAATACATCTATGGTCTCATGCCCATGCATCGTCACTACGCGCAGGCAGACGAGTTTGTAGAGGGCTACTTTGAATTCCGCGAAAAAGCCTTTCAAACTGTACCCAAACACTTGAGAAACGAACTGGAAGCTGATTTGTGGGATGTCATCACCAATTGGGGATTTGAAACTAGAATGCTCAATGCCTTGCCAAGAAACCATTCTGAATTGGATGAGGTCATGGCAATGGGTGGAACACAATGGCGAAACTACAAACGCAGCATCCGTGATGTTGCATGGCTGGAAGAGCATGGCCAGTGCATGGACAACATCAAACCAGGAAAGTCGACAATCTCACAGGCTGGAAGAGGTGTCTTTGCCACACGGTTCATCCCAAAAGACGGCTTGGTTTCTCCAGCCCCATTGATCCACATTGCAGACAAAAAAGAACTCGTCATGTATGATGTCTTGCCAGAGAACGAGGATGGCTTGATTCATCGGAATGCCTCTCGACCAATTCACCATCAGCTTTTGCTCAATTACTGCTTTGGACACCGGAATTCCACAATTTTGCTTTCACCTTACGGGCTTTTGTCATCTCTCATCAACCATTCTCCCGATGCTCCCAACACACGGATCCAATGGACGAAGAAAGAGATGCGAAACCCGGAGTGGATGGAGATGCACCCAGACGATTGGTTGGAAGAAAGTCATTCTGGCCTGCAGTTTGATTTTGTAGCCTTGCGTGACATTGAAGCAAACGAGGAAATTATGATTGACTATGGTCCCGAATGGGAAGCTGCTTGGAAAGACCATGTGAAAAACTGGAAAAAGCCAGAGGGTGCTGACAAGTACATGGTTTCCTACGAAATGCAGAAGGCTCTCGACGCTGACGTCCCAACCGAGGATGAGGGCGGCATTGGCGATCACTTGCAGGTGTATTGTCATGATACCTTCCGTCTCGTCAATGGTCTGCCTGAAGGCGACGACGACTACCATCGTTGTCGGCCCATCAAGCGCTATAAATCACCCAAAGGCGAGACGCTGTACCTCGTAGAACTCTACTATGTCTACGATGACGAATGGCAATCATCCATTGTGATATCCGAACTCCTCTTTGATGTTCCTCGGTCGATCTTTCACTTTGAAGATACATCTTATACCCGAGATCATCAACGCACCTTTGGCTTTCGTCATGAGATGATGATTCCTGATGACATGTTCCCGAAAGCATGGATGAATCGGCAGACGAATGCTGATGGTTGAACACACCAAAAGTCTTAGTTGTCTGCCCAAATCCACCTTCATAAAAACGCTGGACATTTATTCTACCCAGCAGTACATATTATGTAGAGATGATAACTGAACGTCTTCAATCTTGTAACCCAATAGGAACACAGCAGAGGATAATCTTAGCTGCTCCAAGGCCATCGCCATAAGATTATGAGAGTGTCACCCGTGCATTACAGATGCCAGAGGAGAGTGACAACAATATGCATAAGAAAGCCTAAAGAGTTTAGCCTACAATGTACCATGCAATTGTACCGGTAGATTGTCATCTGACCCGTCTTTCACACCCTTTTTGCCACCGGTGTAGAACTCTTCTCGTCCAGGCGGTTGGTTGTAGGTCTATGTTCGTTTCAATCCCATTTTTCTTGTTTTTCGGAGTTACTCAGTTGTGTGGCAGGGTGTCGTCCTGCAGGGTTCAACGTAACCCTCTACAGGAGTTACCACTTGATAATTTTCATGACTTCCAGCTGACCCATGACATTGTCGGGTGATAATCGAGGCCCCATGCCAACGAGTACATTATGAAAGCCTGCTTCCGGTATGGTCTCGTATGCCTTTGCCAGCAATTCTTGTGGCAAACCAAATCGTACAATCCCCATGGTGGCATCTGCCCAATCCGCTTTCCGGACGGCATTGACAATCTCATTCATATTGTCGACCAACTTGGCTGCGGATTGATTTCCCGTTTCGTCCGTTTGGTAGTCGTAGTCGGTGAATTTGTGATGGTACATGATGATTGCTTTGGCGACTTCGGCATCATTTTGAAAGCTCGCCCAATGAACGACCTGTGGGACATAGCCTGTGCCTTCATCTCCTTCGGCCTGTTTGGAGATTTTCATTTCTCTCGACACACGTTCGTTCATTCGTAGCACAGATGGCTCTAGATAGTTGAGTTCTCCGTCCGTCCAGAGCGCAATGTCATGGTATGCCAGTGCCATGGCGACAATATTGTAAATATGAGGTGGCAAATGGACATTCTTTTGCGCCAAATGGTACTTGGTGAATGCCAAGACTCGCAGACAGTGATTTTTGTAGGGCACAAAGTCATCTCCAATCTGGCGGTGATGTTTCTCCAGGTAAAAGTTCAAGACGTCGTCCTTCGTTTTGATGAATTCGGAATAGTCGTTTCCCGTGTCAGAGGCTATGGGCAATCCAAACACCAGGCGATTGGAGGATACAAACATGCCAACAGCAATGGCAGTCATTGCCACCAAGATGGCCAGAATACTGGTACCGACGACCATTCTTCTTTATTATTAGATACCGTGTGAATAGATGGATGTTTATAGTTGTTGTGAAGAGGCTTCTTTCGCAGAATACAAAAGTATGGCAATATGAATGAAGTGGAGAGCAACAGGAAGACTGTGTGATGACTTGGCGTCAACCAAAACACATCAACAGATGATAGCTTGATAGCTTGAGGATTGTAAATGCCAGCTTCGTTTTTCAAGTCGGCTTCGTGAAGACCGATTTTGACATCGCCCCAAGGAAGATGAGCGGCAACCTTCGAAAGGATTCCCAAGCGGTTACTAGCTAGCTTGTCTAGTACGGTGCCGGTGAAGTGTGAGCATCGCTGTTGATTGGCGGTGTCACAGATTGAAACAGCCGTTTTCTTCCTTCTGAGAGCACCGTTCGATCGAGTTCCAAACCCTCAACCTTACTGTAGTAGACACCCAAAAGATCCGAAGACAGGATCTGAATGATTTGTGCCAGTCTCCGACGAGAAAGCAAACAAGGAAGGAGGCCAAGAGAAAATCCATTCTATTTCCAACTACGTCGTGTAGTTCCCAGCAATTGCTACTAGTATCTAACAACTAACTTATGACCATGAGACGCTTCTTCTTTTTGGTGTTTCGAGTAGCTTTGCTTCTCTTACTGCAAAGCCCCATCCGTGCCTTGGCCGATGACAGCTTTCGCCCTCCTCCACCCAAAGCGGCTCCACCTCCCACTCCTCCCGAGCGACGAACCCAGTTGATCACGCGCTCCACAGGCGTGGCTTGTAGTGCCGTCGCTGCCACTGTAACACTACGAAGAATCAATCTTCGAAGCCCCATTGGCAAGGTTGTACTGGTCGTTGCGCTTGCTGCTTCCTACCTGGGAGGAGCGCAAACAGCCGGATGGATTGCAGATCTGGTACCCGAAGCACCCATACCAGCAGCGTTTCCACAGGAGCCGTACCAAAAACAATCTTATTCATCATCACAGGATCCCTATCATGCCGATATTGAGGTGGAGGATGTGGAACGAGAAGAAATCAAACGGCATCGCAAAACGACACTCCAAGAACAATTGTTCTTTTGGAGGAAATCGAAATCGGCACCGGTGCCAAGCGACGATACTCCTCCGGTACCAGAATGGTCCAATGCATACCAAAAGAAACAAAACTACGAAGAAAATTATGGAATTTAGAAAAGGAGTTCGTTATGCTGCTGAGACGACAAACTACCGTGCGTGGGAACTTGCATCCGTAGCACTAGCTACGGTACCGGTAGCGAGTGCGGTGTTCCTTTCCAATCACAAAAATTTTATCATGATCGCTTTGGAGACGAAGATGCAATGACAAGGAAACACGTGTGGTTGCATCATCGAGAAAAAGTCTTGCTCTTACGAGAATATGAACCAAGAAGTTTGGAATTGGTTGACAGGCTCTGGCTCATACGGTACCAGTAACAACGTATCTTGCTAGCTTAATAAAAAGAGGGCCAGTCAATTGACGATCTCTCTTCCTCCGCCATGTTTTAGGTACTGTAGGGTCAGCCAAACAAGGCCACATATTATGGTAAACCAGCCAATGTGTTGCTATTGCAGCACTGATGTCTTTCACCCGACAAAAGTGAGACCTTCCGTGTGGTGCCGAGGTACCAGTCTAGCCTGCTAGCAGCTCCATATGAGCGAAGGGTGAAGGGTGCCACTTGTAGTTCATCAAGGTACGGTATGGGCTGGTGGTCTTCGACAAGAGGGGGGCGTTGAAGGGGACCGTACTAAGGCCTGGATTTGGGCGAGAAGCAGGTCGCACGTCTCGATTCGGCAGCGTGGTCGCTAAAACACCAGACACATCTGGGCTTCAGGTAGTTGCGGTAAAACATATTTTTGATTCAAATGTTCAGAGTAAAGTATATCTTTAACCCTATATTTACCGCATCTACCCTTCTAAGACTGTCTTCCACTATCACCACAAATGCGACTGCTGCCAACACAAAATACTGGAGACACCAACAACTCCATATCACCACAACAGCTGCGCTGTAACCATGACAAAACAAGCTTGGGACCGTATTCAACCTGAGTTTCGCTCTTACCTCGAAAAGGCTGGGTATGAAGCCAAGGAATTTAACGATCCTTCTTGCAACCGTGCAACTCTTTTCAACGCCTTCGAGCAGCATTTGCAGCAGCAGCATTTGCAGCAGCTGTGCTGGTACATGGTATCGGGAGTGATATCTCGGCCCTCAACCCATGCTGGTGCGCGTTACGAGCTGTTCAAGTTGGCTGCTGGTTCTGGGCTGTATCCACAAAATATGGACGCAGATACTGCCTTTGTGTCTAAGGCCAGCGAGACAGAGGAGGATCGTTCCCTCATTTCCTTTTCGGTGGTCTTCACGGATGGGGCCCAAACGGCGCAGTTTGTGGACGCTGTACTGATGTATCTGCAGCGGAACGAGGGGGAGCTTGTTCTCCTTGATGATAACCTGAGAAAGGTGGAAAGCTTGCAGATAGAGAAAATTCCCCCCTTTCACGAGCCGGCGGTGCTGGGCAGGGTAATGAAAAGCCACTACAAACCCCTAAAAGGAGAGACGGGTCCAGGGTCTCCCCTTGTTGACGTTATTATGGAAGAACGATCAACCGACTTCACAGTGGACGTATCGCTTCTGTCAACACATGACGACACTTTTTTATTCCATCGGATTGAAAATGACACCGCGTTTGCGTTGGCAGCGCCGGAATCTGCACACATTGTCCCCAGTCCCTTATGTTCTGGAGAATATGAATGGCTTGATACGCCCGACTTTAACCGCCTGGCCTTGAGCAGAGATTTCCATTTAAACTTTGATGGAACAGGACGGGGAAGAGGCAAGCACCGGAAAACAATGCAGACATTTGCCATCCGCCCGGAGCGACCTGCTCAGGGCTATGCGACTGGGAATGTTGGTGGTCGCGCATGCTACAGAATCCCGTTGGTGTTGGTGCTGAATGTAAATGAAAAAGCCGGCGGGCTCCTGTCCAAGCTGCGCAAGAGTGTGAAGTTGAACAAGCCCCGAAACTCTCGCTGGACGATAACTGGAACCGATCTTCACATCCACCACCCTTTAAACCAACGAGTCAACCTTGTAACAGAAGAAACTGACAGCGGTCCCGGCCTAGTGACTGCCATTCCTGGTGTTATAGGTCTCGAAGATCTCCGTGATTGCTGGTCATATCAGGTTCAGGAGGGCTCGCATTCCCTTGAAGCAGCAGAGATTTTGGAGAAATGTCTGCAATGGAACCACGACAATGCTTTGGAAAAATGGCGGGTGGCCTAGCAGGGTCAGGGGCCAAGAAAATCTGCGCTTTCGAGTCAACTATCGATACATATTACTGATCTCATTGCTAAATGTCCTAGTTTATAGGCCCATGTTAATCGCTCGTTTGGTAGTTGATTTGTGTCTATAGAGTATGCTAATCTGATCGAGGACTGTTTCTGTCCAGACAAGCTTGTCACTGTTGTCAAAGACGACTATTTATTGCTTCATATAGAGTGAGATCATTTGCTGCTCCATGCAGTTCCCTCCTGGCTCATGACATGTGTACCGGAACCATCAGCGCTACGAGAAGCTTCACTGACGCTCTCCTCAGCCTCAACATTCTTTTGGTCGGTTTCGTCAAGGCTAGCTCCATCTTCAGGTGAACCTCTGCCCCCTGCCCCAAAGTACTGTTTTACTATAGGAATTCCATGGGGCAGGGGGTCCCAGGCTGACCAATCGTCCTCTGCCCCATTGCAACACCTCTGCCCCATTTCCAATCTCGAGGACTTTTAGGGAAGCCCTCCCAGTCTGCGCGTTCCAACCTCCTCTGTCTGCCTGTCAGCCTTCACGGTGATTGAGCGTTACAACCTTTGACGTGCTGTAGCCATCCATTGATACCCATTGACGTGCTATTGACATTCAGAAATGGGGCAATTGAGCATTACAACCTTTCCTGGTATGTTGTAGCCATGCATTTGACGTGCTGCAGTAGCCGTGCATTTGAACCCCCTCGGGTCGCCCCATGGTCTACCCTCATTAGCAGCTACCTCGGCTCACACACAATTATAAAAACAGATTCTCAGTCATTCGAAGCTCTTGGACCCACAACACATCGGAGAAGGAAGGAGAAAGAAGCAAGACCCTATTCCCCACTACTAGCTAGACTCAAAAAGCTCTCGGCAGTATACCTCACTCCACATCCACTTCACTCCATTTCTTTCTTTGGTCACAATCTCGATCAGTGGCAAACGAGTGCCTCGCAAGTCACGCAGCAAGGGAGCTGATGCGGCAAAGGCTCCTTTGGATTTAGACGAAGGAAAAGCTTACGGTGGCGGTAGTTGCGAAATGACAAAGCATCTGCAAGATATTGAGGCCTTTTGCCGTGTGGTCAAGGCAGCCGGATCCCAACAGCGAGAACGCCTGGTACGACACTCCATGATGGTAGCTAGTACCGGTACCCCTGTACTGTTTTTCCTGTACTGAGGGGCGATTTGGGGGGGACGAGGGACCGGCTTTTAAGGATGTGTGCCCGTCGATCTACTAGAATGGCCATTGAGTGGAAGCTTGGATTGCTAAGGCAAGTGTTGATGAAGAGAATGCCACCTTTGGATGATCATTCTTTGGATGACCCATTGGATACCACTTGTCAGTTAAGTATTTAAAGGCACTACCTGTACCACCTTCAGTGGGCTGCTACAGTAGCCCAAATCACTCCATGATGCTCAGTCTTCTCCTCGGAAAGGTATTTGGGCTACTCAAGTAGCCTAAATTCACTCCTGCCTTTCTCTTTGGGCTACTGGAGTAGCCTAAATTTTCCCCTCTGTGTTTGGGCTACTCGAGTCTTCCCCTATCCATCATGTCCACACATCGTGCGGCGCAAAGTTAACATCGTCTATCGACATTATCCATCCATGTTTTGCTGTCGTGACACCATATTTCCAACATCAATCAATATTGGTGAGACGACGTTGGGGGTGGTCGTACACCAAGTGAAAACGTCCGATTTCAGTTCTCAGATGTAGCCTTGTCGTATTGACCTTTCTTGGCTTTGTACTCACTGAGTTCCAAAGCGTCATGCTGTATGTCCTTCGGATCGGCCGCTGTTGGCTTAGCCGTTGGCTTGGTTGGTACAACTGATGCCTGGCTGACCATTGTTTCAATAGCCAATGAAGCCAGTGGCACGTCAGTCCACTCAGGCTTGACTCTCATGTTCTGGACAATGTGAGTCAAGGTTTCTTCAAAAGGGTAGTACCTGTTGTCTGCCTGTCCATTGGGATGGAACAGGTGTTGGCGTTTGGGACTCTTGTTTGAGCTTCTGTTGCCTCTGCCTTGATGGCTTCTTCCTGAGGAATTGAATCCCCTACCCCCCCTTGAAGGGTATCTTCCTCCACCACGACCACCTCTTCCTTGGAATCTCATGGTCTTGTTGGTGTGGTAATGCACTCTCTTGTGCTTTCTTGTGGACTTGTGTGTGGATACTCCTGCAGGAAGGATCTCACGTGATAGCACGTGTTGCGCCCTGTCTATCTGCTTTGAAAAGCTTGTTCAAGCCTGGATAGGCTTCTGTAGTCACACTTGGTGGCTGGATAGCCTCCATCTTGTTTGACCGCTCGTGTACCTCCTCTTGGGTATGATATCACGGTGATAGGAGCCTTGGATAGTAGCGAACTTCCTTTTTGGTCCTTTCGTTGCCTCTGTTCTGTTGCAGATGGCTTGAGTATGGACTGCTTGGTTGAGTACACTGTGTGAGTTTCAATGTGTCGTATAGTCAAACAAAGGAGTTTCACAGCTCCGTGTTGGTTATCGGGATTTTTGTGCTTCACTACAGTAGCGGGTTGACTCGAATCAACCTACCTCGCTCAATTTTCAGAGTCAGACGCTTCCAAAGATACCCAGAGTTGCAGCTAGAGGTCTTCTATCGATCGCTGCATGGTATCTTTAGCTTGCAACGCCTGTGTCAAGACCTATCTTGATCTCCGTTCAATGGCTTCTGCTCATCGTGATGTGACGGATCGAAATCTCGCGCGATGACACGATGACGTAATTGACTTTAACTCTTGCGATAACAGTACGATTCACGTACTTCCAGTATCGAATCCGTGTAGTTTGTTCTCCTTGATCACCTGGTGTACGTAGATCTCTCCAGTTCTCGATCTTTCGTGATGTCAAATGGGATTGACTACTGGTATCTTCCCGCGCTTGCACCTCTTTTCTGTTAGAGCCTTTGCGTGTAGTTTATAGTGAGGGTACGGGCTGAATCTGCGCACCTCTCCTCTGTTGCTATAGTTACTCAATAGTCTTGGTTGATCTTCTCGGTAGCACAACTCGAGTCGAAGATGTAGATCTCGAGATGGCGCTTTCAGATTCAGTGTTGTTTGTCTAGCTAAAGGCTAGTACTGCAGCTTATTGAGGAGTATTTTGGTTTTTGGTTTAAGCTGAATCTGAAAAGCGAATATTTTCTGGTGGCTGACAGCCATTCTTCAAGTTGAATGGATATAAGGATGCACGCAACACTTTAGACCTAAAACTCCCCTTGAGACGGTGTAGCAATTAATATGCGAACCGTACTAGATTGTAATACGCGAGTCAATAATAATTTGAGGTATGGGGAATATATCCTCCAACAATTCATACCACCTTGCGTGCAATGCCTGCACAGCTTGTGTTCAATCGTGACGCGATTCGCAACGTCCGTTTCGAAGCAAACTGTAAATACATTAAGGAATGTCGCCAACAACTTATCCAACAAAACAATGATAGAGAAAACGCCACGCGTGTCTCTCATCAATACAACGTCAACGATGCTGTGATGATTCAACAGTATCAGCACCGCAAGTACGGTCAGCCCAAGTACAAAGGTCCTTATTCTATAGACCGAGTCAATGACAATGGCACTGTACGGCTCCGACATGCTACCGCTAATGACGGCACAGTCTAGCAGACTTGGAACATAAGGTATATACACCCATACAAGGCCTGATCCCCTTGTAGGATTGCCATCGTGCGACGCACATGTCTACATCCAATCTCTGGAGAGTGCCCCACACTTTAAAAATCATATGTTCTCCTTGTCCGACTGCTGTCGTGCCTTCTGTGACCCTTGTCAGGGGGCGAATGCAATACACGGCTCTTAGCCTTATTCGCGACTCGATCCTAGATAGGGTTTGAGTTCGACTCATGACTGAGTCTCTCGTGAATAGTCATTTGAGACAGGGTTCTCAATGACCGCCTAGTCATACTAGGTTACACTAGGTATCGACACAGCCTCGCTGATAGATATTTAGCTAGCATGGAAATTCTCCATGCTACTTCTACGCTACCAGTAGATTACTAGAGCTAGAGTTTCCACGTGTTCCGAGTTACGCCGTGGTCTGCGTAGGATGCCTACCAACACCTACGCTATTCCAACTCCTACCTGATTGCCGGGTGCCCATGTGAGTAAACTGTATCCATGGCCTCGAAGATCTCTCCTCTTGCTGATTAGTTTTCATAGCTTTCTAATCTCTCTCATAACTTTCATTCTCTCAAACTCAAAACACTCGAAAGATCTTTAGTACACTAGCTTTTAGCGTAGTGCAACAAGGGCCTCAAGAGACTACTCCTTTCTGTACCAGCACCAGTTCTTACAAGATGGTGGACAGTTGGGGAAGCGGCAAGGGTTACCTACTTTTGTGTTATCTACTGATTCTACGCCTAACTCAGACAGTCATCAACGTCCATGACAACAAGAGCAAGCAGCACAAGATTGCGTCCGGCCTACAGCCACATCTACTAGAGCCAGAGCTGTACTCTGATTTGACACTGATGCATTGCTACCACTCCGTGTTCGTCAGTCCACACTTTGACCGGTTGCAGAGCAGTGTTGATATGTCTGACATTCCTGGCTTCCAAGCGCACAACATCATTGGCCGGTACTATCTCATGCACAATGACTTGCAACACATGGAACGCAACGGCATTGCGTTTGACCCTGCCTTTGATGCCTTTTGCGATTCCTTCGACATCCTCCCAGAAGGAACACAGGTGGTGCAGAGGAACAAGGCCTCTCCCTTCTTCAAGATTGCCAAGGAGGCACTGACCAATCACTTCCGACGATGGGCCAACAGGCGACTTCTACCAGCGGCACTTCTCTCTGAAGAACCAGCGGCAGTGGTGGTGGCTTATGTCATTCTTGGGAAGCCTTACCGTGTCACTCACCAGCAAGCCATCTGGAAGTCTACTGTGCATGGGTATACCTTTGACTTGCAGCGGTTCCATGATTAGTTGGTAGAAGAAACGTCCAACGAACACGCAACCTCACAGTATGCTGAGTACCCACCCCTGTGCACTCACGTGGCAACTATGGTCCTGGATGGTTATGACTTTCGAAACAAAAAGGAGAACAATGACAATGCATTCAAACAGTGGCTTCTCACCATGTACCTTCCCATTGCTTGCCACACACACTTTGTTGAGGCAGGTGTCAAAGAAGCGAAGCTTGTCTCGCAAACTGACCGCTCAGAGCAACTCCGCTCTGCCATTGCCATCATTGGATCTGCTGATGTGCACAATGCAAACAATTTGAAGCCATTGGCTGACCTACCAAGTACTGATAGGATCCTTCATCTCATGAACAATGCCACAGCTCACAATGACAAGCATGCGGATTGGGCCAAGACTCAGAAGGAAACATACCAAGGCAGATTGGATGACATTCAGAAGGTCTTGAAGCAAGAGCATTTCAGGGTGCAGAGACTGGAGGACCTTAAGGAAGAAGCCATCAAGAAGGGAGCCATCAATAAGAAGGAAACCCAGAGGCAGAGGAAATGCAACATTGCTAGGACCTTTACTAGTGTGTACCATTTGGCAAGAAAAATTGAGCTTTCTCTCTGACCATGGCATCTATGCTACACTTCCAATTGCTTATAACTGCGCATGCATGGTGGAGAGTTACAACTGTATGGTGTTCTATGTCAATCTTAACAATCTACATACATAGCAACTGTTGCCATTATCTGCCATTGTCAGCTTGTTTCTTTTATTTTGTTGTTCTTTTTGCCGCGGCCGTTGTTTTTTTTCTGGTGTCAGACACGTCAGCGATTATGTACCAGATCCACGCGCGAGGCGCGTAGAGGATTTCTGAGTACCAGAAAATCGATCAGTCTACGGGATCTGGTGGGGGTCATAGACTCTCTTCAAGTCGATGGGTCCTTCGTAGAGGGAGTACCAGTGCATACACACGTAGAGATTTGCATGCACTGGGTACGTAAGATCCAAACGAGAGGTGCAAAAGATACGATCCAATGAGGCACATTGCTCATGCATTGTTCATTCGTGGATCATTCTGTGGAAAACGAAAAGCTGATAGGGTGAGAGTGGTCCACCGCGTGGAAGATGAATTCGTGAAATCCAGTCGTAGGAGAGAAGATCCTCCCGTTTTCATGAGCCCCCTAATAAATGTAAGCACGCCATGCGGAATGAAGAAAATACCTACCTGGTGGAAGAAGAAATCACCTGGTGGAAAAGAAGCGTGAACCCCAGGGTGTGTGGGTCGATGAAGCATGACTGCAAGTCTGCCTCTCCATGAAGCAAGCCAAGGTGGAAGATTACTTCCACCTCATATTTTCTCCAGTAGCACCAGTAGCACCTCAGATGCTACCAGACCGGAGGTTCTATTACTGTACCGGTACTTGCTACTTGCTACTTGCTACTTGCTACTTGCTACTTGCTACTTGCTACTTGCTACTTGCTACTTGCTACTTGCTACTTGCTACTTGCTACTTGCTACTTGCTACTCTGGGATGAACCACCGGAAAAGATCAACCACCGGAAACTAACAAATAACAATGAACTTTAACCCTAAATTATTCCGGTAGTTGGTCACCGGTCCATATTCCTGCCGGCTTCTACAGCATCTCTACGCTTTCCGGTGGTTGAGAGTGGCTTGGTCACGTCCAAGCATGTGTGAAGTGGACACGCGATGTGCAAGGTTGCGTGCAGGCGAAATGGGATTATGCATGGTTGCTTCGACCAAATAATAGAGTGGGTTGCGATACTGAGGACTCAAACGCACAGATAGACGCACACTAACCCTTTTGTTTCCCGCATTCTTGGCTACTACCAAAGACTTATGGTCCTTGAAAACCATGACTAGGTATAAATGTTAAACAAGTTTCAGGATACTAATTATCTCCTTTGTTATCTCCTTGTGCTGTTAGCTATTTAACCGACAGGACTCCAGGAACCAAGTATGTCTTTTTAGCGGTACCGCTTGTTTTTGCCACCCTCAAAAAACAGCCAAGAGCATCCGAGCAACAACAACAACCAGTTCCGAAGTCTGGTCTTTGATTGGAGTCGTCTTCTATCGCTCCGTCTCTTCGCCTTTACCAGCAACGACATAGATGCTTCCATTGACGCTGTAGAAGAGATGCTGGCATCCATTCACTCTGCTACTAGCGTACGATTTGATCATACAACACACCACACTAGCAATACCACAGCCGCCGCCGCCGCCGCTGCTTCCGCCAACAACCCGACTAGTAACAACGCTAACAGCAACAACAACAATAATAGAATGAACAGTGCCGCCATGAACCGCAGCCGCAGTGCCCGCAACGTCATGGCGCGGACGCTGCCCATCCTGGAACGGGGTGGATCGACCCGCAACTTTCGAGAGTTGCCGCCCGATCGACGTCGTTCGGCCATGCTGATGATGGAGAGTCCTGGATCGACGCGCAACATGCGATCGCTGCCCGAGAATCGAGTGCGGCAACGGAGTAATTCGACTCGACGCTTCTTTGTCGCGGACCAAGCGTCCCGCAGCAGCCAATCAGCCGGAGGAACGACTATCAGCAACGCTTCGTCGTCGTCGTTGAGCAATCAATTTCGACGCATCAATTTGGAACGAACCGATTCAGCGAGTTCCATGGGTTCCATGCAGTCCTGGGGGTCGATGCGGTCACTGGGATGTGGCACGGATGACAATGGCGCGGACGACAGTGGACACAACACCAATCATGACTCGACCCTCTCCATTCTCTCCATGGAATCGCTCTCCATTGCGACACCCACCAGCCAGATCACCAACAACGGCGTTCGACAATATAGCTTTCACAGCAATCCCTACTACCTCGGCAGTGGCAACAGCGGTCATAACAACAACAACAACAACACTAACGGCAGTGTCACGACGGAAACAGACGACATGATGTCCTTGTATTCGAGAGACTCGGTCAAAGTACGACAGAATCAAATGGAGCAATCCGTCTCATCGCTCTCCTTGTCGGCTCATGCCATCCAGGCTGTTGCGGCCGTTTGTCGTACAAGTATGGAACCCGACGATGACATGTTCTCCTTTGCGTCCGCGTCCGAGTGCACCGTCTACTCGTTCGATCGACATCGACCACTCAAATCAGTTCACACATCTCCGACTTCTGCGCAATCGCAACAACAGTGGTCATGAGTTCAGTAAACGCGGGTCGTCTGTTATTCATTCCGATTTGATTCAACATTCTCA